AGTTTGCAGGCAAGGCCACCAACACGCTCCTTTCCTGTCTTCTTTCCTTCCTCCCATCCTCTCCTGTCCACCCTCTGCCCCTCCCTCCCTTCTTCTCTTCTTTCCTTCTAGTTATTGAGCCATGCCACGTGCTGCATGCGGCGAGGATGAATAAAATAAATAAACCTAGAGCAATCATTCCAGTTACTGCAGCCATATAACAAATTATTCTAAAACTCAGTGGCTTCAGACAAGGACCATATTTATTTTGCTCAAAAACCTACCATCTGCACAGGCCCTGGTGGAGGCAGCTTATCTGTGTGCCCTTTGGCGATGGCTGGGGTTGGCAAGAAACTGGGGAGGTGCTTGGGCTGGAAAGACTCAAACGGCTGGAGTCTGGGACAACTGGAGCTCATTGGCCCCTGTGCTTATCTCTGCACAGCTTCAGGGTAGCTAAACTTACCTTACACTGCTGAGGCTTCTCAAGATGTATGTAGGGAGAGAGAGTTGGGGGGAGAGGGAGAGAGAGAAGAAGAGAGAGGGGAGAGAGACAAGAAGAGAGAGAGGAAGAAAAAAGAGAGAGGAAGAGAGAAGGAGAGAGGAAGACAGAGAGAAGGAGGGAGAGGGAGAGGGAGAGGAAGAGAGAAAGAGAGGAAAGAGAAAGGAAGGGAAACACGTGTGTGTGTGAGAGAGAGGGAGAAAGGAGAGCGAGAGAAGACAGAGGAGAGAGAGAGGAAGAGAAAAAGGAGAGAGAGAGAGAGGGAGAGAGAGAGAGGAGAGTCAGAAAAGAACAAGAAAGGAGAGAGAGAGAATGAGAATGAGAATTGGGTGCCATAAACCCTCTGATGGGGAAAGCAAAGGGCATTGTGGGAGAATCCTCTCAGCACCTGGGACAGCACCCAATGCTGACCAGGAACTTAACAACCAGGAAAATGGTAAAGGGGTGCACAGCCCACCTGGAGTCCAAATAGATGTTCTAACTCTCTTGGGTGTGTCTGGGAATCAGGTAGGAGGTCCTCAGAGGAGGAATTTGCATGTGTTGTTCTCTTTATAATAACCATACTAACAGCCAGCAATGTTCTGGTACTTACTATGGAGTAAGTCCTTGTTAGGAATGACTTCATGTCATCCTTCCAAATTCAATGACAGGTAGCCGGGCGCGGTGGCTCACACTTTGCAATCCCAGCACTTTGGGAGGCTGAGGCAGGTGGATCACCTGAGGTCCAGAGTTCGAAACCAGCCTGGCCAACACGGCAAAACCCCGTCTCTACTAAAAATACAAAAATTAGCCAGGCGTGTTGGCGAGCACCTGTAATCCCAGCTACTCATGAGGCTGAGACAGGAGAATCGCTTGAACCCAGGAGGCAGAGGTTGCAGTGAGCCGAGATTGCACCACTGCACTCTAGCCTGGGCATCGGAGCGAGACTCTCAAACAGGAGCTGGCAGACTATGGCCCACTGCTTATTTTTGAAAATAAAGTTTTATGGGAACACAGCTGTGCTTACTTGTTTTCATATCATCTATGACTGCTTCCCAGTTACTATGGCAGAGGAGGTACAACGGCCACTGTGTGGGTCACAAGTCTGAAATTATTTACTATCTGGCTGTTTGTAGAAAAAGTTTGCTGATCCCTGTCCTGGAGGTCAGTGATATTAGGATTTCAGTTTACAGAAAAGGAGAAAAAGACATAGAGAAAAACAGTGTTTATTCATTTATTTTTTTTTTCAAGGTTGAGAAAATGAGCATCTGAACCAATCGCCCGTGTTATTAAATTTAAACATTTATTATTATTTTTGAGACAGGGTCTGGCTCTGTCACCCAGGCTGGGGTGCAGTGGCACAATCACGGCTCATCATAGCCTTCACCTCCTGGGCTCAAGCAATCCTCCCACCTCAGCCTCCCAAGTAGCTGAGGCCGCAGATGCATGCCACCAAGTCTGCTAATTTTTGTATTTTTTGTAGAGATAAGGTTTTGCCGTGTTGTCCAGGCTGGTCTCAAACTTCTGGGCTCATGCTATTCTCCACTTTGGCCTCCGAAAGTGCTGGGATTACTGCCACCATGCCCAGCCTAAAATTTTTACTTTTAGTTGTGGTAAAATATGCATAAAGTAAAATTTACCATCTTAACCATTTTAAGTGTGCACTTCAGTAGCGTTGAGTATATTCACATTGTTGTGCAACCATGTTGCACAAAAGACCTTCAGGTCTTTTTTTTATTTTGCAAAACAAACTCTGTATCTGTTAAAAAAACAGCCTCCCCCGGCCGGGCACAGTGACTCAAGCCTGTAATCCCAGCACTTTGGGAGGCCGAGACGGGCGGATCACGAGGTCAGGAGATTGAGACCATCCTGGCTAACACGGTGAAACCCCGTCTCTACTAAAAAAATACAAAAAACTAGCGGGGCGAGGTGGCGGGCGCCTGTAGTCCCAGCTACTCAGGAGGCTGAGGTAGGAGAATGGCGTAAACCCCAGAGGCGGAGCTTACAGTGAGCCGAGATCCGGCCACTGCACACTAGCCTGGGCGACAGAGCGAGACTCTGTCTCAAAAAACAAAAACAAAAACAAAAAAAAACAGCTTCCCGGACAGGTGTAGTGGCTCACGCCTGCAATCCCAGCACTTTGGGAGGCCCAGGCAGGTGGATCACCTGAAGACAGGAGCTCGAGACTAGCCTGGCCAATACGGTGAAACCTCGTCTCTACTAAAAATACAAAAATTAGCTGGGCTTAGTGGCGGGCACCTGTAATCCCAGCAACTTGGGAGACTGAGGCAGGAGAATGGCTTGAACCCGGGAGGCGGAGGTTGCAGTGAGCCAAGATCACGCCACTGCACTCCAGCCTGGGGACAGAGTAAGACTCCGTCTCAAAAACAACAACAACAACAACAACAACAACAACAGCAGCAGCAGCAACAGCTTTCAGGCTGGTGCAGTGACTCATGCCTGGAATTCCAGCACTTTGGGAGGGTGAGTCAGGTGGATAACCTGAGGTCAGGAGTTTGAGACCATCCTGGCCAACATGGTGAAACCCCATCTCTACTAAAAATACAAACATTAACCGGGCATGGTGGTGCACACCTGTAGCCCCAGCTACTCGGGAGGCGGAGGCAGGAGAATCGCTTGAACCCAGGAGGCAGAGGTTGCAGTGAACCGAGATCATGCCACTGCACTCCAGCCTGGGCGATGCAGTGAGACTCTGTCTCTCAAAAAACAAAACAAAACAAAACAAAACAAAAAACAAAACAAAAAAACAAATCCTGTGACTTCCCAATCTCATCTCTTCCAACCCCTGGCAGCCACCACTCTATTTTCTGTCTCTATGAATTTGACTCCTCCAAGTGCCTCATGTAAGTGAAATTATACAGCATTTGTCATTGTGTAACTGGTTTAATACGTTTGAGATGGTGAGAGCTTAAGGTCTACAGGACTAAGGTGTTTTTTTTTGTTTGTTTGTTTTTGTTTGTGTTTGTTTTTTTTTTGGTTTTTTTTTTGACAGAGTTTCACTCTGTCGCCAGGCTGGAACGCAGTAGGGCGATCTCGGCTCACTGCAACCTCTGCCTCCCGAGTTCAAGTGATTCTCCTGCCTCAGCCTCCTGAATAGCTGGGACTACAGGTGAGCGCCACCACAACCGGCTAATTTTTTTTTTTTTTTTTTTTTTTTTTTTTTGAGGCGGAGTCTTCACTCTGTTGCCCAGGCTGGAGTGCAGTGGCACCATCTCAGCTCACTGCAAGCTCCGCCTCCCGGGTTCACGCCATTCTCCTGCCTCAGCCTCCCGAGGAGCTGGGACCACAGGCACCTGCCACCGCGCCCGGCTAATTTTTTGTATTTTAGTAGAGACGGGGTTTCACCGTGTTAGCCAGGATGGTCTCGATCTCCTGACCTCGTGATCCGCCCGTCTCGGCCTCCCAAAGTGCAGCGATTACAGGCGTGAGCCACTGCGCCCGGCCACAACCGGCTAATTTTTGTATATTTAGTAAAGACAGGGTTTCACCATGTTGGCCAGATGGTCTCAATCTCCTGACCTCGTGATCCGTCCACCTCCGCCTCCCGAAGTGCTGCGATTACAGGTGTGAACCACCACATCCGGCCATGGACTAAGGTCTTAAAATAGCTCTTCCTGCCTGTGTAATCTCCATTATGGCAGGACTCTCATAAGAAGATGACAGTTCATCTGATGCGGAAGAAAACTTTCTCCTAGTTAGAGTGACTTGGATTGAATTCTTCCCTGTTCCCAGCGGTGTCTCCTCCTGGAGTCTCAGGCACTGTCAGGGGTAGGAGGTGGTGATCAGATATGCTCGCTCTGAGCAGTGCAAGGGGAAGCAGGTGCCCAGAGGTGCATCCCAGTTTGGTGGGGGTGATAAACATGGACAGGTAAGTGCAGGAGTGTCTGCAATACTCAATCTAAGAAAGGTAGTTCCGGCAGAGTTCAGGGAAGATATCTCTGTGCAGAGCCAGACATAGGGATGAGATTCTGAGAATTTGGAAATCAATCAGGCCACCAGCCCCTCCTCCCTCAGACCCAGGAGTCCAGGCCCCTGTCCCTTCTCCCTGGGACCTAGAAGTCCATGCCCCCGGCCCCTCCTCCTTTGGACCCAGGAGTCCAGGCCCCCAGCTGCCTTCTCCCGCAGGACCCCAGGAGCTTGGGTACCCGCAGGCTACTAGATCCTTGTTTCTGTGCGTGGAAATTCTCATATTATCCCCAGAAGTCTATGAAGAAAGTAAACACACATTTCCAGATGAAGGAATAGGCTGATATATTTGAAAGACACACAGAGGGTCACAGTCTGGAATTGACAGTGGTGGGATTCGAACCCGTTTCACGCCAGAGCTGTGTCGCGCCTTACATGGCGCGGCAAGTATGACGTCATTCGAACACACCACATGCCCCGCCCCCTGACGTAGCCACGCCCATAGGCTCCTGAAACCGCCTCTCCCAGCTGTGACAGAGCTCAGGACCGTGCTCATAGGTCCCGCCCCTGGGATCCCCGCCCCCTCCGCCCGCGCCCCGCCCCTCGCAGCCCAGTTCCGGAACCCGGGGGCCCCGCCGCGCCTGCGCCTCCGCACGTGGGTGGCTGCGCCGCGAGCTCTTCCTCTGAGGGGCCGGGGCGGCTGGTGTGCAGCCAGCTCCGCTTCGACCCCCGACCCCTGTCCCCGGCCCGGCATGAACCGCTACCTGGTGCCGCTGTCGGCGCTGGGCACACTAGCAGGCGCCGCCGTGCTGCTCAGGTGAGTACCTTCTAGCCCCGCGTGCACGGTCAAGGCAGGCCTCCCGCGCAGGGGCAGGGAAGACGGCGGAGACCCCCGCCCCTCGCTCCCGGGTCCAGCCCCCGCAGCTCCCGACCGGCAGTGTCAGCCCCGAGTGGGGCAAACGTGCGCTCTGGCCGGCCAGGTCACCGGCCCAAGGTCACTCGGAGGGAAGGGCGAACCTGGGCCCTTGTAAATGTTGCTTTCCTTCCAGACTTTTAAACTCTTTATTTTATTGTATTATTTATTTGTTCGTTTATTTTTTAAAGGCAGAATCTGGCTCTGGCGCCCAGCCTGGAGTGCAGTGGCGCGCTCTTGGCTCACTGCAGCCTTGTCCTCCTGGGCTCAGGTGATCCTCCCACCTGAGCGTCCCCAGGAGCTGAGACCACAGGTGCGCCACCACGCCCGGCTAATTTTTGTTTTTTTAGTAGAGACGGGGTTTTGCCATGTTGGCCAGGCTGGTCTCAAACACCTGCCCCTCAGGTGATCCGCCCGCCTCGGCCTCCCAAAGTGCAGGGATTACAGACGTGAGCTACCTCGCCCGGCCTTCTTAATTTAAACTTACTTAAAAATTAGTTTTTTTAAGTAAAAAAAACTAATTTTTTTTACTTAAAAAATTAGTGGCTGGTGGACACTGTATTGCATGGTGCCCTTCTCTCCTGTGGGTGCAGTGCTGTGTACCTGCTCAGCCTCCTGTTGCTGGAAACTGGCTTGTTTCCAGCATTAGCCTCTGTGGGACATGGGTGTGGTGGGCAGAGTCATGGCTCCACAGAGGGGTCCACATCCTAATCCTCGGAACCTGTGACTACATTACCTCAGGTGTCAGAGGTTCTTGCTGATGTGTTAAGTGAAGGATCTTTTTTTTTGAGAAGGAGTTTTGCTCTTGTTGCCCAGGCTGGAGCACAGTAGCCCGACCTTGGCTCACCACAGACTCCGCCTCCCGGGTTCAAGCAATTCTCCAGCCTCAACCTCCCGAGTAGCTGGGATTACAGGCATGTGCCACCACGCCTGGCTAATTTCTTTCTTTTTCTTTTTTTTTTTTGAGATGGAGTCTCGTTCTGTCGCCCAGGCTGGAGTGCAGTGGGGCAATCTCTGCTCACTGCAAGCTCCGCCTCCCGGGTTCACGCCATTCTCCTGCCTCAGCCTCCTGAGTAGCTGGGACTATAGGTGCCCGCCACCACGCCCGGCTAATTTTTTGTATTTTTAGTAGAGACGGGGTTTCACTGTGTTAGCCAGGATGGTCTGGATCTCCTGACCTCGTGATCAGCCCACCTCGGCCTCCCAAAGTTCTGGGACTACAGGCATGAGCCACCGTGCCCAGCACCTGGCTAATTTTGTATTTTGCATGAGATTTCTCCATGTTGGTCAGGCTGTTGGTCTCCGTGTTGTTCAGGCTGGTCTCGAACTCCTGACCACAGGTGATCTGCCCACCTCGGCCTCCCAAAGTGCTGGGGTTACAGGCATGAGCCACCGTGGTCAGCCAAGTGAAGGATCTTAAGATTATCATGTAGTCTTTTTTTTTTTTTTTTTTTTTTTGAGACAGGGTCTCTCTGTCCCCCAGGCTGGAGTGCAGTCACGCTGTCACAGCTCACTGCAGCCTCAGCCTCCCTGGGCTCATGTGATCCTCCCACCTCAGCCTCCTGAGTAGCTGAGTCTATAGGGGCACACCACCAAACCCAGCTAATTTTTGTATTTTTAGTAGAGATGGGGTGTCAGCATGTTGGCCATGGCTGGTCTTGAACCCCTTACCTCAAGTGATCCTCCCGCCTTCGCCTCCCAAAGTGCTGGGATTACATGTGTGAGGCACTGTGCCGGGCCTGCCTTGTAGTCTTATAGGGTCCTTATAAGAGGGAGCAGGAGGCTCAGTCAGAGGGGAGATGGAAGATAGGAGAGGTTGTCAGGTGTGGTGGCTCACACCTGTAATCGCAGCACTTTGGGAGGCCAAGGCAGGCGGATTGCAAGGTCAGGAGTTCGAGACCAGCCTGACCAACGTGGTAAACGTCATCCTCTACTAAAAATACAAAATAAATTAGCTGAGCGTGGTGGCACGTGCCTGTAATCCCAGCCACTCAGGAGGCTGAGGCAGGAGAATTGCTTGAACCTGGGAGGCGGAAGTTACAGTGAGCTGAGATCATGCCACTGCACTCCAGCCTGGGCGACAGAGTGAGACGCTGCCTCAAAAAAATAAAAATAAAAGCCGGGCGCGGTGGCTCACGCCTGTAATCCCAGCACTTTGGGAGGCTGAGGTGGGCGGATCACAAGGTCAGGAGTTTGGGACCAGCCTGGCCAATATGGTGAAACCCCGTCTCTACTAAAAATACAAAAATTAGCCGAGGGTGGTGGTGGACGCCTGTAGTCCCAGCTACTCAGGAGGCCGAGGCAGGAGAATCGCTTGAACCCGGGAGGCGGAGGTTGTAGTGAGTCGAGATTGGGCCACTGCACTCCAGCCTGGGAGACAGAGTGAGACTCCGTTTCAAAAAAAATAAAAAAATAAATAAATAAAAATAAAAAAATAAATAAAAATAAAAATAAATAAAGGAGATGTTCCAGTGATTATGCGGTTTGAAGAGGGAGGCGGGGCCAGGAGCGGAGGAATGTGGCGATTTGTAGGAGCTGGAAATGGATTCTCCCCTAGAGCCTCCAGAAGGAACCTGACTCTGCCAATACCTTGATTTATTCCAGTGAGATGTATTTTGGACTCTTGACCTGAAGAACTGTAGGAGGATGCGCTTACATGGTTTTAAGCCACTAAGTTTGTGGTAATGTGTACAGCAGCCACGGGAATCTCATGCAGTGGGCATTTTAAATTTAAATTAAAATTTTTCTGAGACGGCGTCTTACCCTGTCGCCCAGGCTGGCGCCATTTTGACTCACTGCAACCCCCGCCTTCCAGGTTCAAGCAGTTCTCGTGCCTCAGTCCCCCGAGTAGCTGGATTACAGGTGTGCACCACCATGCCTGGCTAATTTTTGTATTTTTAGTAGAGACAGGGGTCTTCCCATGTTTACCAGGCTGGACTGGAACTCCTGACCTCAAGTGACCTGCCCCCCGCCCCCGACGTTGGCCTCCCAAAGTGCTGGGATTACAGGTGCGAGCCACCTCGCCCAGCTGGAAATCTCATGCAGTGGGCATTTATAAAATAACGACTGTTGCCAGGCACGGTGGCTCATGCCTGTAATCCCAGCACTTTGGGAGACCGAGGCGGGTGGATCACGAGGTCAGGAGATCGAGACCGTCCTGGCTAACACGGGGAAACCCGTCTCTACTAAAAATACAAAAAATCAGCCAGGCGTGGTGGCGGGCGCCTGTAGTCCCAGCTTCTTGGGAGGCTGAGGCAGGAGAATGGCGTGAACCTGGGAGGCGGAGCTTGCAGTGAGCCGAGATCGCGCGCCACTGCACTCCAGCCTGGGCAACAGAGCGAGACTCCGTCTCAATAAGAAAAAAAAAAAAAAGAAAGACTGTGACTTGCTGAAGGCGGTCCACACACCAGACACTGGGTGGAGTCATTTATGGAGAACAGGACAGAGATCCCGTGGTGTGATGTGATGATGTCTGTGTTTCAGTTGGGGGATGTGAGTGAGCTCAGACGGGTTTGCCTGAGGTCACTCAGTCAGGGGCACGTGGAGTGAGAGTTGGCAGACAGGACTGACCATGCCGCTTCTCACCCTCAGGGACTATGTCACCGGTGGGGCGTGTCCCAGCAAGGCCACCATCCCTGGGAAGACGGTCATCGTGACGGGCGCCAACACAGGCATCGGGAAGCAGACCGCCTTGGAATTGGCCAAGAGAGGTAAAATCTCCCCTGCTTTGGCTCTCAGAGAGAGATCTGCACATCCACGCTCACTGCAGCATTATTCACAGTCCGAAGGTGGAAGGAAGCCAGGCACCCATCCACAGATGAACAGAGAAACAGAACGTGGCCTCTGTAGACAGTGGTATACGATTCAGCCTTAAAAACGAAGGGCATTCTGGCTGGGCACAGTGGCTCACCCTTGTAATCTCAGCACTTTGGGAGGCTAAGGTGGATGGATCACCAGGTCAGGAGTTCGAGACCAGCCTAACCAACGTGGTGAAACCCCATCTCTACTAAAAATACAAAACTTAGCCAGGCATTGTAGTGGGTGCCTGTAATCCCAAGCTACCCGAGAGGCTGAGGCAGGAGAATCGCTTGAACCCAGGAGGCAGAGGTTGCAGTGAGCCGAGATCGCACCACTGCACTCCAGCCTGGGCAACAGAGCGAGACTCCGTCTTCAAAACAAAACAAAACAAAAAAAAAGTAAGGTCATTGAAACAGATGAACCTTGAGGACATTCTACGAAGTGAAATCAGTCAGTCGACAGAAGAGCAAATACTGTATGATTCCACTTATAGGAGCTACCTAGAGTTAAATTCATAAAGAAGTTTGAATAATGGCTTGCCAGGGGTTGGGAGGGGAGGAGAGAATGGGGAGTTAATTGTTTAATGAGCACAGAAATTTAGTTTGGGAAGACGGAAACAGTTTGAGAAATAGGTGGTTGTGATGGTTGCACAACATTAGAAATTATTATTACTGTTTCTTTTTGAGAGGGAGTTTTGCTCTTGTCGCCCAGGCTGGAGTGCAGTGGCGTGACCTCAGCTCACTGCAACCTCCACCTCCTGGGTTCAAGTGATTCTCCTGCCTCAGCCTCCCGAGTGGCTGGGACTACAGGCATATGGCACCACAACCAGCTAATTTTGTATTTTTAGTAGAGATGGGGTTTCTCCATGTTGGCCTCGTCTTGAACTCCTGACCTCAAGTGATCCACCCGCCTCGGCCTCCCAAAATGCTGGGATTACAGGTGTGAGCTACCATGAATGTTTTTAATACCAATGAACTGGACGCTTAAAAATGGTTAAGAGGGCTGGTCTCGGTTCACATCTATAATTCCAGCACTTTTGGAGGCTAAGGCAGGAGGATCACTTGAGGCCAGGGGTTCCAGACCAGCCTGGACACCGTAGCAAGACCCACATTTCTACCAAAATTAGCCAGGCATGCTGGCACAGGTGGTGCCTGTAGTCCCAGGTCACTTGAGCCCAGGACTTCAAGGCTGAGGTGAGCTATGATGGTGCCAGCACCCAGCCAGGGCAGCAGAGTGAGACTCTGACTTAAAAAAAAAAAGAAAAGGGGGTTAAGATGGTAAATTTTAAGTGATTTGTATTTTACCACAACAAAAAAATTGGAGGCCAGGCATTGTGGCTTATTTGTAATCCCAGTATTTTGGGAGGCCGCGGAGTGGATCACCTGAGGTCAGAAGTTCAAGACTAGCTTGGCTAACATGGTGAAACCCTTGTCTCTACTAAAAATACAAAAAAAAAAAAAAAAAAAATTAGCCGGGTGTGGTGGCAGGCACCTGTAATCCCAGCTACTCGGGAGGCTGAGGCAGGAGAATCGCTTGAACCTGGGAGGTGGAGGTTGCAGTGAGCTGAGATTGCACCACTGCACTCCAGCCTCGGTGACAGAGTGAGACTCCAACTACAAAAAAAAAAAAAAAGGAAAAAAAATCCTAATGCCCTCCCCAAGTGCTGGGATTCCAGGTGTGAGCCACTGTGCCTGATGAATTCCATGATGGTTAGTATAGTCACAGAGTGCAGAGTGATGCAACCATCTTTAAATTCAACCTTAGAACATTTCTGTTACCCTAGAAAGAAACCTTGCTCACTTTTAACTATCAAGCTGTAATTCCCTCTCCCCGCAGCCCTAGAAAAACAATAATCTGTTTTCTTTCTCTCTGGATTTGCCTATTCTGGGCATTTCATAGGTGTGAAGTCATACACATAGCATTCATGTAAATGGGACTGGACACTGTGTGGTCTTGCGTGTCTGGTTTCTTTCCCTGAGCACAGTGTTTCTGAGGGTCATCCTTGCTGTAGCGTGAGCCAGTGCTTCACTCCTTTTCATGGCTAATATTCCATCTCTATGGGTGGACCACATTTTATTAGCCCTTCATTCACGGATGGACATTTTTTTTTTTTTTTTTTTATTTAAGTTCTAGGGTACATGTGCATAACGTGCAGGTTTGTTACATATGTATACTTGTGCCATGTTGGTGTGCTGCACCCATCAACTCGTCAGCACCCGTCAACTCGTCATTTACATCACGTATAACTCCCAATGCCATCCCTCCCCACTTCCCCCGACATTTGGTTGTTTCTACCTTTTGGCTCTTGTGAAGAATGCTGCAGTGAACACTGGTGCACGTGTTTTTGTGTAGACATATGTTTTCATTTCTCTGGGATCAGTACCTAGGAGGGGATTATTATTATTATTGAGACGGAGTCTTGCTCGTCGCCCAGGCTGGAGTGCAGTGGCGTGATCACGGCTCACTGCAAGCTCCGCCTCCCAGGTTCACGCCATTCTCCTGCCTCAGCCTCCCGAGTAGCTGGGACTACAGGCGCCGCTACCACGCTCGGTTAATTTTTTGTGTTTTTAGTAGAGATGGGGTTTCACCGTGTTAGCCAGGATGGTCTCGATCTCCTGACCTCGTGATCTGCCCGCCTCGGCCTCCCAAAGTGCTGGGATTATAGGCGTGAGCCACCGCGCCCGGCCAGGCGTGGATTATTAATTTAAATCTTTTTCCATCCTGGGTTTTCAGGAGGCAACATCATCCTGGCCTGCCGAGACATGGAGAAGTGTGAGGCGGCAGCAAAGGACATCCGCGGGGAGACTCTCAATCACCACGTCAATGCCCGGCACCTGGACTTGGCTTCCCTCAAGTCCATCCGAGAGTTTGCAGCGAAGATCATTGAAGGTAGGAGGAGAACGCTGGCGGTGTAGGATGAGGACTGGGAGAGGCGGCTCCCAGGGCCAGGCTCTGAGGAGTGAATGGAGCAAGCAAACTTTAGAGCAGAGTTTTGGCAAACCATGGGCTAGGGGCCAAATCCAGCTGCTGCCTTTTTTTGTACAGTCTGCAAGCAATGACTTTATTTATTCATTTATTTATTATTATTATTATTATTATTTTTTTTTTTTTTGAGGCAGAGTCTCGCTCTGTCGGCCAGGCTGGAGTGCAACGGCACGATCTTGGCTCACTGGAACCTCTGCCTCCTGGGTTCAAGCGCACAGCCTCCTGAGTAGCTGGGATTAAGGTGCCTGTGACCACACCCTGCTAATTTTTTTTTTTTTTGAGACAGTCTCGCTCTGTCGCCCAGGCTGGAGTGCAGTGGCGCGATCTCGGCTCACTGCAAGCTCCGCCTCCCAGGTTCATGCCATTCTCCTGCCTCAGCCTCCCAAGTAGCTGGGACTACAGGCGCCCGCCACCTTGCCCGGCTAGTTTTTTGTATTTTTTAGTAGAGACGGGGTTTCACCGTGTTAGCCAGGATGGTCTCGATCTCCTGACCTCAGGTGATCCATCTGCCTCAGCCTCCCAAAGTGCTAGGATTACAGGCGTGAGCCACTGCACCCCGCCAACTTTATGTTTTGTTTGTTTGTTTTGAGACAGACGAAGTCTCGCTGTGTTGCCCAGGCTGGAGTGCCATGGTGTGATCTTGCCTCACTGCAACCGCCATCTCCTGGTTTCAAATGATTCTCCTGCCTCAGTCTCCTGAGTAGCTGGGATTACAGGCACCCGCCACCATGCCTGGCTAATTTTTTGTTTTAGGTAGAGACGGTTTCACCATGTTGGTCAGGCTGGTCTCGAACTCCTGACCTCAAGTGATCCTCCTGCCTGTGCCTCCCAAAGTGCTGGGATTACAGGCGTGAGCCACCGCGCCTGGCCTGAATAATTAGTTTGAGACGGGGTCTGTCTCTGTCATCCAGGCTAGAGTGCAGTGGCGCAAACACAGCTCCCTGCAGCCTTGACCTCCTGGGCTCAAGTGATCCTCCTGCCTCAGACTCCTGAGTAGCTGGGGCTATGGAAGCACGCCACCGCATTTGGCTAATTTTTTCTTTTTCTTTTGAGACAGGGTCTTGCTCTGTCACTCAGGCTGGAGTGCAGTGGTGCAGTCATGGCTCATTGCCGTCTCAACCTGCTGGGCTCAAGTGATCCTCCTGCTTCCAAGTAGCTGGGAGTACAGGCGTATGCCACCACACAGAGTAATTATTTTATATATATATATAATTATATAAAATATTTTATATATATATATTTTTTTTTTTGTAGAGCTGGTGTTTCACCATGTTGCTCAGGCTGGTTTCAAACTCCTGGGCTCAAGTGATCCACCCGCCTTGGCCTCCCACAGTGCTGGGATTACAGGCTTCAGCCACTGCGCCCAGCCTTATTAAGGATTTATTGATCAAGTACCTTACCCACCATGGTTAAATAAATATGTGTAAGTTATGGGACATTTATAAAATACTGCAGTGTAAAGAAGACAGAACTGGCTGGGTGCGGTGGCTCATGCCTGTAATCCCAGCACTTTGGGAGGCTGAGGCGGGTGGATCACTTGAGGTCAGGAGTTCGAGACCAGCCTGGCCAACATGGTGAAACCCTGTTTCTACTAAAAATACAAAAATTAGCCGGGTGTGGTGGTGCACACCTGTAATCCCACCTGCTTGGGAGGCTGAGGCAGGAGAATGGCATGAAGCCGGGAGGCGGAGGTTGCAGTGAGCTGAGATCACACCACTGCATTCCAGCCTAGGTGACAGAGCAAGACTTCGTCTCAAAAAAAAGAAAAAGACAGAACTAAACACCTTTGATCTGCACCAACCCCAGGAGAATCACTGTTAAAGTTTTGATGGATTTCTTTCCAGTCTTGTTTCTAATTGGTTTGTGTGTGTGAATTTATATATTTTTATGTAAAACTGGGACCATACTCCAGCTTTTCTATTCTTGTTCATCTTTAAATAGACTCAAGAATACATTAAAATTATTGTTTAGTTGACATGTACACTTGTATAACGTACAACATGATGTACATTGTATACACTGTAGAATTACTAAATCAAGCTAATTAACATATGCATTACATCAAATTCTTACCTGTTTTTGTGGGGACCACATTTACAATCTCTTCTCTTAGGATTGCATGAGCTCAGGAGTTAGAGACCAGTGTAGGAAGCATAGTGAGACCTTGTGTGTACCAAAGATTAAAAAAAAAAAAAATTAGCTGGGCATCCTAGCGTGTGCCTATAGCCCCAGCTACTCAGGAGGCTGAGGCCAGAGGATCGCTTGAGCCTGGGAGTTCAAGGCTGCAGGGAGCCGTGTTTGCACCACTGCACTCTAGCCTGGACGACAGAGCAAGACCTGGCCTCTTAGCAATTTTTTTTTTTTTTTTTTTTTTTTTGAGATGGAGTCTTGCTCTGTCACCCAGGCTATAGTGCAGTGACGAGATCTTGGCTCACTGCAACCTCCGCCTCCTGGGTTCAAGCGATTCTCCTACCTAAGCCTCCCGAGACTATAGGTGTGTGCCACCATGGCTGGCTCATTTCTGTATTTTTAGTAGAGATGGGGTTTCACTATGTTGGCCAGGCTGGTCTTGAACTCCTGACCTTGTGATCCCCACGCCTCAGCCTCCCAAAGTGCTGGGATTACAGGTGTGAGCCACTGTGCCCGGCCACTTGTTTCTTTTTTTTTTTTTTTTTTTGAGACTCTCTCGCTCTGTTGCCCAAGCTGGAGTGCAGTGGCGTGATCTCGGCTCACTGCAAACTCCGCCTCCCGGGTTCACGCCATTCTCCTGCCTCAGCCTCCCGAGTAGCTGGGACTACAGGCACCCACCACCACGCCCGGCTAATTTTTTGTATTTTTAGTAGAGACGGGGTTTCACTGTGTTAGCCAGGATGGTCTCGATCTCCTGACCTCGTGATCTGCCCGCCTCCGCCTCCCTAAGTGCTGGGATTACAGGCTTGAGCCACCGCGCCCGGCCTGACGCCTCCTTTCTTAGCCACACGTTCCTCTTCCGGGAAATGGAATAATAATTCCTTCTATTTTCTGGGATTCTCTAGAGGATGAAGTAAAGCTGTGTCTGTGACATTTTTAGCAAATCAAGTACCAGCTTCTTGGTGTTTTCCTAAGATCAACAGCCAGGCATGAAGACATCAGTGGATTTAAAAATAGTGAAGATGGTGCATTTTATGTCATGTGTATTCTGCCACATTTGGGCAGGCCAGGTGCAAGGGTTCACGCCTGTGATCCCGCACTTTGGGAGACAGAAGTTTTGGGAAGATCACAGTTTGTGAGCTGACACTCTGACAAAGCTGGAAGCCGTGGCTCTTTCCAGTGCCAGACTAGAAAGAATGCAAAGCAAAGAGCCCCAGGAAGTACCCACAGCCTTGTTCATCAGGGAGTTTGAGATCAGCCTGGGCAACAGAGCAAGACCTCATCTCTACAAAAAATACAAAACAATTAGGCAGGCGTGATGGGCGCGGTGGCTGATGCCTGTAATCTCAGCACTTTGGGAGGCTAAGGCGGGCGGATCACAAGGTCAGGAGATCGAGATCATCCTGGCTAACATGGTGAAACCCCGTCTCTACTAAAAAATACAGAAAAATTAGCTGGGTGCAGTGGCGGGCGCCTGTAGTCCCAGCTACTCAGGAGGCTGAGGCAGGAGAATGGTGTGAACCCGGGAGGAGAATGGCCTGAACCTGGGAGGTGGAGCTTGCAGTGAGCTGAGATTGCGCCACTGCACTCCAGTCTGGGCGACAGAGTGTGACTCCGTCTCAAAAAAACAAAACAAAAAAACAAAAAACAATTAGGCAGGCGTGATGGTGTGCACCTGTAGTCCCAACTACTTGGGAGGCTGAGGTGGGAGGATTGCTTGAGCCTGGGAGGTTGAGGCTACAGTGAGTTTTTTTTTGAGACGGAGTTTTGCTCTTGTTGCCCAGGCTGGAGTGCAATGGCACGATCTCGGCTCACTGCAACCTCCGCCTCCTGGGTTCAAGTGATTCTCCTGCCTCAACCTTCCGAGTAACTGGGATTACAGGCATGCGCCACCATGCCTGGCTAATTTTGTATTTTTAATAGAGACGGCGTTTCTTCATGTTGGTCAGGCTGGTCTCGAACTCCTGACCTCAGGTGATCCGCCCGCCTCGGCCTCCCAAAGTGCTGGGATTACAGAAGTGAGCCACCGCGCCTGGCCTGCAGTGAGCTTTGATTGTACCACTGCACTCAGGGTGAGACCCTGTGTCCAAAAAAAAAAAAAAAGGTTGAGGCAGTTCCCAGATAAACAAGACAACAGGCCAGGCACTGTCTTTCAAGAATGAAACTCCACCTCCAAAAAATAAAATAGGCCACAGTGAAATCGCAGCACTTTGGGAGGGCAAAGCAGGAGGATTGCTTGAGGCCAAAAGTTTGAGACCAGCCTGGGCAACATAGTGAGACCATGTCTGAAAAAAAGTATATATATGCATATAAAATTTAAAAAGGAAAAAAAAAAAGAGAGAGACAGCTCCAAAGGGAAGAGGAAGGGAGAAGGGAGAGAAGCCAGAGCAGATTCTCCCTGAGGGCCCTCAGAGGGAACCAGCCCTGCCCACACCTTGATCTGGAACTTCCAGCCTCTGGGACTGTGTATGTATTGATTGATTGAGATGGAGTCTCGCTCTTGTTGCCCAGGCTGGAGTGTAATGGTGCGACCTCTGCTCACCGCAGCCTCTGCCTCCCGGTTTCAAGCGATTCTCCTGCCTCAGCCTCCTGAGTAGCTGGCATTACAGGTGCCCGCCACCACGCCCGGCTAATTTTGTATTTTTAGTAGAGACGCAGTTTCTCCATGTTGGTCAGGCTGGTCTCAAACTCCTGACCTCAGGTGATCCGCTCACTTCGGCCTCCCAAAGTGCTGGGATTACAGACGTGAGCCACCGCACCCGGCCAGGTCTGTGAGGTTTTAAACCACCCGTCTGTGGCACTTTGTTATGGAACCCGAGCCGAGCGATATAGGGAGGAAGGCCCTGTGGTTCAGTGCATTTTACAGCTGAGGAAACTGAGGCTGCAGTCTCCATCTGTGTGCCCTTTGCTTGTCTGTGCGAGTGAGGGGGCAGGCTTGGGAATGAAACCGCACCTGCAAACCTGCAGTGCCGGGGCTCGCACCGGTAACCCCGTTTGGCCTCGGGGCTCCTGCAGGAAAGAGTCCCAAGGCTTAGAAGGAGGGGGCGTGAGTGTCCTGGGCCTGCTGTAACGAGGTGCCTCAAACCCAGTGGCTTACACCCTCAGACATGCATTCCCTCACGGGTCCGGAAGCCGGCAATCCGAATCACGGCGTCCCTGTGGCTGTGATCCTGTGAGACGGGCGGTAATCCTCCCAGCCTTTTCCACTTCCAGCGGGGGCACCCACACTCATCTCGGAGCTGCGCCTCTCCGGTCTCCGCTTCCGTCCACACGTGGCCTTCTCCCCGTGTGTCTCTGTCTCTGTTTTCCCTTCCTATAAGGACACCAGTCACTGGATCAGGGCTCACCCTAATGACCTCTTCCTGACGTGGCCACTTTGGCACAGACCCTGTTTCCGGCGCAGGCCATGTTCACGCGTTCCGGGAGCACAGGAACGTTTCTACTGCTGCCTCAGGCTGGGGTCTGTCCTCTCCCTGACGTCTCCTTCCCCACCCCTCTCTTCCAGAGGAGGAGCGAGTGGACATTCTAATCAACAACGCGGGCGTGATGCGGTGCCCCCACTGGACCACCGAGGACGGCTTCGAGATGCAGTTTGGCGTTAACCACCTGGGTGAGGCCTGGGCAGGGGGCTGCCCCGTGGGCTCAAGCGATCCTCCCCTGTCGTCCCCCCAAAGTGCTGGGATTTTAGGCGTGAGCCAGAAGTGACCTTTTTGTCATCCTTAATCCAGGTCACTTTCTCCTGACGAACTTGCTGCTGGACAAGCTGAAAGCCTCAGCCCCTTCGCGGATCATCAACCTCTCGTCCTTGGCCCATGTTGCTGGGCACATAGACTTTGATGACTTGAACTGGCAGACGAGGAAGTATAACACCAAAGCCGCCTACTGCCAGAGCAAGCTGGCCATCGTCCTCTTCACCAAGGAGCTGAGCCGGCGGCTGCAAGGTGCGGGGCGCTAGGCTCGGCCTCCCTCTTGCTTTACTCTGAGCCTAGAGCAGCCCTTCCATGATCCTAGGCTGATGGGAGGCCAAGCTGTGGCTCCACAACAGAATCTGCAAAAGTAGAGCACACGGACCACCCTGCCCCCTTCTGGTGCCCGAAGCAGACATCACTAATCGATTGTTCTTCTGATGATTGTCTCTTCATCCCAGGTGGTCTAGTCTGCCTGGATCAGGTGTCCTTCCCTGCTGCTGTTGGGCAGGCAGCTCAGCCTTTTGGCTCCAGCCAGTGAGTCCCAACCAGGGGCAGTTCTGGCCCACAGTTGTCAATGCCTGGAAACACAGTGATCACAGCTGGGTGGGGGAGAGATTGCTCTGGGCATCTGGAGGGTAAAGGCCCAGATGCTGCTCAGTGTCCTACAGCACACAGGACGGCCCCTCACTCCTCCCGATCCACAGCGTCCATAGTGCTGAGGTTGAGGAATCTGTGCTGGGCCTTTGCTTCTGAAAGACGGTCTGTGGACCAGCGGTGCCAGCCCCAGTGGGAGCTGGTCAGAGTTACAGTATCTCAGATCCCGCCCTCACCCACCGATTCGGACTCCTGGGGTGAGCTCAGCGTTCTGGGTTTATCAAGCGCTCCAGGACAGCTCGGCTCCCAGCAGCCATGTGGCAGAGCCGCCTGCAAGATAAGACCACTTCACTAAGATTTCAGAGCAAGAGGCACGACGGGGTTTGAGTGTAGGAAGCAGCCTGGCGCCCGGAAGCCCCACAGCTGGGTGTGGGCTGCCACAGCCTTCCAGGGGAGGCTGGACCTCTCCCTCCGTCTTCTCTTTCTTCCCCAGGCTCTGGTGTGACTGTCAACGCCCTGCACCCCGGTGTGGCCAGGACAGAGCTGGGCAGACACACGGGCATCCATGGCTCCACCTTCTCCAGCACCACGCTCGGTGAGTCCCCTCCCAGCCTGGGGTCTGCACGCTGAGCCCTCCACCCCTGCTTTCTCAGCCCAGGGCCCCAGACCCTCCCTCAGAGACGGTCCCTGGGGCCTCATGCCTGCTCCTCGCCTGTGTCTTCTGAGGCACAGGACGGGTCCCTTTCCTCTGTCGACCTGGCCTGCCAACCTCTGTCAGCCTCAGGAAGCAGGCAGAGCCCCACTGGCCGATGAGAAAACCGTGTCTCAGAGGAAGAGGCCGTGGAGCTGACTCCTGGAGTCAGGCTGTGCTCAGGGTAACTCCAGCTTCACCCCAAACCAGCCACGCCTCCTGGGGAAGTGCTGTTACCCCTCTGAGCCTGTTTCTTCATCGGCAGAGTGGAGGCCATAACAGGACTCACCTCACAGGCACTGGGAGGGTTAGACAAGACCTTCCTTAAAAGGGCCAGCACAGTGCCCTGCCCAGAGAACAGGCGGAATACACAGTTGGAGCTTTATTTAATTTATTTTTGAGATGAAGTCTTGCTCTGTCACCCAGGCTTGACTACAATGGCACGATCTTGACTCACTGCAACTTCCAACTCCTAGGTTCAAGTGATTCTCCTGTCTCCAAGTAGCTGGGATTACAGGTACACACCACCACGCCCAGCTAATTTTGGTATTTTTAGTAGAGGTGGGGTTTCACCATATTGGTCAGGCTGGTCTCGAACTCCTGACCTCTGGTGATCCACCTGCCTCAGCCTCCCAAAGTGCTGAGATTACAGGTATGAGCCACCACCCCCAGCCAGTTCAAGCTTTATAACTAGTGTTTATAATCCTGAAAAACATGGAGTGGGTGAGTGGTTGGTATCAAGAATCTTAACTTGGCCAGGCTAATAGCCATGCCTGTAATCCCAGCGCTTCGGGAGGCTGTGGCAGGCGGATTACCTCAGGTCAGGGGTTCGAGACCAGCCTGGCCACCATGGATAAACCCCATCTCTATTAAAAATACAAAAATTAAGGCTGGGCGCCATGGCTCACACCTCTAATCCTAGCACTTTGGGAGGCCAAGGTGGGTGGATCACCTGAGGTCGGGAGTTTGAGACCAGCCTGACCAATGTGGAGAAACCCCGTCTCTACTAAAAATACAAAATTAGCCGGGCGTGGTGGTGCATGCCTGTAATCCCAGCTCCTCGGGAAGCTGAGGCGGGAGAATCGCTTGAACCCAGGAGGCGGAGGTTGTGGTGAGCCGAGATTGTGCCATTGCACTCCAGCCTGGGCAACAAGAGCGAAACTGTCTCAAAAAAAAAATTAGCCAGGCGTGGTGGTGGGTGCCTGAAGTCCCAGTTACTCGGGAGGTTGAGGCAGGAGAATTGCTTGAATCTGGGAGGCGGAGGTTACAGTGAGCTAAAGATCACGCCACTGCACTCCAGCCTGGGTGCCAGAGTGAGACACCAGGTCTCCAAAAATAAATATATAAAAATATATATATATATATTTTTTTGAGATGGAATTTTGCTCTTGTCACCCAGGCTGGAGTGCAATGGCACGATCTTGGCTCGCTGCAACCTCCGCCTCCTGGGTTCAAGGGATTCTCCTGCCTCAGGCTCCCAAGCAGCTGGGATTACAGGCACCCACCACCAAGCCCAGCTAATTTTTGTATTTTTAGTAGAAATGGGGTTTCATCATGTTGACCAGGCTGGTCTGGAAGTCCTGACCCCAGGCGATCCGCCTGCCTCGGCCTCCCAATGTGCTGGGATTACAGGCCTGAGCCACCTCGCCAAAAAAAAAAAATTCCTAACCTGAGGCTGGTGCTAGGTGCATTTAATAAGTGTAAGTTATTTAAGGAGAAATGGGGTAGGGTGAGGACTAGGGCTAAGAGGAGGAGAGCTTCCATTTTCCTGGACAAAGCCAGGAGGGCTCCTTGGGGGAGGCAGCTTCTGGTCTGAAGGGATTAGCCTGGGCAGTGCCAGGGAAGGGAACTACAGATGGAGGCAGCCAAGGGGAAGGGGCTGGAGGAGGGCTCTGTGGGACTCTAGGGGCCCGGAGCTCCTTGACGGGGTTGTGGGGCTTCCTCACTTCTCTGAGCGTGTGTGGACTGAGTGCCCTGTGCGCTGATTGCAGGGCCCATCTTCTGGCTGCTGGTCAAGAGCCCCGAGCTGGCCGCCCAGCCCAGCACATACCTGGCCGTGGCAGAGGAACTGGCGGACGTTTCCGGAAAGTACTTCGATGGACTCAAACAGAAGGCCCCGGCCCCCGAGGCTGAGGATGAGGAGGTGGCCCGGAGGCTTTGGGCTGAAAGCGCCCGCCTGGTGGGCTTAGAGGCTCCCTCTGTGAGGGAGCAGCCCCTTCCCAGATAACCTCTGGAGCAGATTTGAAAGCCAGGATGGAGCCGCAAGACCAAGGGCAGCTGTCTGCCATGCCCGCAGCTTCCTGGCACCACCAGAGCCGGGAGACTGAGAGCCGCTGGCCGCCATGCCTGCGGCATCCTATAGGGGGAGAGCCGGGCTGGTCGCCATGCCTGCGCATCTCTAGTAGGGGCGGTGTTGGCACCACTCAGCTGGAGACCGAGGACTGCCGGCCCTCATGCCTTGCAGCATCCTCTAGGGGGCTGCTGGCACCACCTGGAGCTGGGAGACCCAGGACTGCCGGCCCCCATGCCTGCAGCATCCTCTAGGGGGCGTGCTGGCACCACCTGAGCTGGGAGACTCAGGACTGCCGGCCCCCATGCCTGCAGCATCCTCTAGGGGGCGTGCTGGCACCACCTGAGCTGGGAGACTCAGGACTGCCGGCCCCCATGCCTGCAGCTTCCTCTAGGGGGCGGTGCTGGCCGCAGTAGACTGGCCTGCAGGTGACCACTGCCCTGGGCTCTGGCTGGTCCCATGTGCTCCGCTGCCAGCAGGGGAGTGGGGCCATCTGATGCTTCCCCTGCGAATCTAAACTGGCAATGGCTGAGAAGGAACAGGCTCCGTGCACTTGTGGGCCATGTCAGGAGAGCCAGCAGTGCCTGTGGGGGAGGGCTCCAGGGTGCTCTGCAAAGAGCATGGGCAGGCTGTCTGACACTCGGATTCTGGGGTACCTGTGGGACCTTGTGCATGCAAGGGTCTTCTCTGAGCCTTGGTTTCTTCAGCGGTGGGGTGCTCAGAAATAACCGCTGTCTCCCGTGACGGTGTGGTGCGGCGAGCTGTTGCCTGTTCACTGTGGCTGAGCACAGCCCTTGCCAGGGGTGTTTGCTGAGGGCTTCCTGTGCCAGAGCCGGCCAGAGAGCAGGTGCAGGTGCCATCCCAAGTTCAGGCTCTGCACGGCATGGAGTGGGAACCCCACCAGCTGCTGCTACAGGACCTGGGATTGCCTGGGGCTCCCCCCTTCCTATCAATTCTCATAGTAGTCCAAACTGCAGACTCTCAAACCTGCTCACTAAAAAAAAAAAAAAAAGAAAATGTACTTGAGTCGTAGGTTTTACTTTTCCCTCTGTGCATGGGTGAATGCCCACGAGCTGAACAAAGGCAACTCATGGATTTCTTCCTTTTAGGAAACAAGACCTCAGTTTATCACCGGGGCAGCAGGCCATGCAGAAGTTCAGACATTTTAGAGATGAAAACCCCCTTCACCCCTTTCACAGGCCATAACCGTTTAAGTCCGGGCATCTTGCAAGACGGCTTGTTAGAAACTGGGTAGAGATCAGGGTGAGAGGAAGGGGCTCTCAGCTTAGGTGCAGAACCTAAGGAGACACGGAAAAGCTCAGTAATCGAGATATAAAACATGTTTTCATATTTGAGATACTGGGGAGGCCAGGGATCTGCTGGATATCCTACAGTACACAGAACAGCCACCCAGTCTCGATCTGTTGCCCAGGCTGGAGTGCAATGGCATGATCTCGGCTCACTGCAACCTCTGCCTCCTGGGTTCTCATGCCTCAGCCTCTCGAATAGCTGGAATGACAGGCGTGCACCACCACACCTGGCTAATTAAAGACGGGGCATCACCATGTTGGCCAGGTCTGGTCTTGAACTCCTGACCTCAGGTGATCCACCTGTCTTGGCCTCCCAAAGTGCAGGAATTACAGGTGTGAGGCAGTGCACCCAGCCCTTTTTGCTTTTTAGAGACAAGGTCTCACTCTTGCTAAGGCTGGAGTGCAGTGCCATCACAGCTCACTACAGCCTCGACCTCCTGTGATTCTCCTGTCTCAGCCTCCTGAGTAGCTGGGACTACAGGTGCACACCACCACACTTGGCTAATTATTTGTAGAGGTGGGGTCTTGCTATGTTGCCCAGGCTGTTCTCAAACTCCTGGGCTCAAGTGATCCTTCTGCATGGCCTCCCAAAGTGTTGGGATTACAGGTATGAGCCACTGTACCTGGCCGTAGTTTTCTTTCTGATGCCATACCCAACGGCTGGAGGGTGTATTTGGGATGACCTGACTCTGGTAGGCAACTTCTAGTGGACCCCACAGTGAGACCACCTCCCTTTGACTGTGGGGAGATGTAGCGACTTTTTTTTTGAGATGGAGTCTTGCTCTGTTGCCCAGGCTGGAGTGCAGTGGTGTGATCTCCCGCTCACTGCAATCTCTGCTTCCTGGGTTCACGCCATTCTCCTGCCTCAGGCTCCCGAGTAGCTGGGACTAAAAGCACCCGCCACCATGCCCGGCTAATTTTTTTGTTTTTAGTAGAGGTGGGGTTTCATCGTGTTAACCAGGATGGTCTCGATCTCCTGACCTCATGATTCATCCACCTCAGCCTCCCAAAGTGCTGAGATTACAGGCGTGAGCCACCACGCCCGGCGTAGCGACTAGTTTCTAGCCGTAGGATAGGGCAGAGGTGACAGCTGGTTAGTCTTGTGGTTAGGTTACAAAACCGACCTCTGTGATGGGAGCATCCCTCCTGCCAGCCGTCTGTCTTGCCGTCTCGCTGGCTGGCTGTGGTGGAGCCAGCTGTCATGGTGAGCGGCCCTGTGGAGAAGCCAGGGAGGAACTGAATCACAGCAACAACCACGTGCGTGAGCTTGCTGTATGCTCTTGCTTGGGGGTAAGTTACAGACTCAGCCCAAGAGGAGTGGACCCCTCCAGGGTGTGATACCAGGAGGGGGAATCAGAAGCACACCGACAGGAGAGAGTGTGTAGGACGTTATTTCTCACTGGGAGAAAAGCAAGTTTGAAAAACACTCCCATGAGATGGGTGGGCTGAGGATAACCTCAGAGCCTCTGGTTCTCTGAATAGGTGCGTAGGACTCACCCAGGCAGTCTTTCCTTTTTTAAATTGTGATAAAAAGTACACAACACTGGCCAGGTGTGATGGTGCACTCCTGTAATCCCAGCTACTAGGGAGCCTGAGGCAGAAGAGCTGCTTGAACCAAGGGGGCACCGCTCCCAGCTGTAACAAGTTTCCAACCTCCCCCCTCTTCGGTGGCACGGGCTGGCCCCACATACGTATGCGATGGCAACTGACCAGGTCCCTGATACACCCGAGTGCTCCAGAAACACCTCGTTGCCTGGGATGGAGGATGATGTTATGTGGCCCTCCAAGGGTTTGAGTTTGATAAATGGGCAAAGGAAGTGGTTTTTAGTAGAAAGCCAGGCTTCCTTTTTTTTTTTTTTTTCCAGCCAGCAAACCCCAAACAGGAACCTATGGTTGGTGATGGATGTGCGTTCAGAAAGCGGGGAGGAAGGGGCAGTCAGAGGTGAGGGCAGTCATCAGTCATAGCTGTCCGCTGCATCACCCTCTCTATCTCCAGAAAGTTTTCTGGATTTTTCCTGTTATGCAGTGTGGAACTGCCCCATCTTCATTCATATTGAGTAAAGTCAAAGGACAAACTCTAAAGGTGGCAGCATCTTCCTGCCTTCCTAGTCAGGTTGCTGCTGTAGCGGAGTGCCACCCTCATTTCCAGCCCTGCAGCACAGTCGCACAGGGAGAACCTGCCTGGCGTGATTCAGAGGCAACGTATCTCCCAAGGTGATTGATTGTGAAGGAACCAGAGACAGCCCGTGAACCGCAAGCCAGAAGACGGGTCCAGCTGGCTGCTGTTGACTCATCAGGGCATGTTGCGTCTGAGCACTTCTCTAAACTACCCAAGTGGCACCCAGGGTGACATGTACATCACCTTGAGTACAATTCTCTCAAGGAAAAAAACAAGCCCAGCGTCTTCTGCGATGGCAAACCTGGCTTGGAGCCTCATAGGAGAGAAGGCCTTAAGAATACCATTTTCTTGCTCTAAGTTGCTCTTACAGGAAACAAGTGATAATATTCTTTGTAAATGCCATCAATCACACCTACATGTGTCACCGAGGGCCGGATCATTCTCTGCCGTGGTGGGGCTGTCCTGTGCATTGAAGAATGCTGAGCAGTGTCCTTGGCTTCAACTGACCAGATGCCAGAGGCACCCCAATTTCTGCCATCGGGTGACTGACTTACCTTCACTGTTGTGTTTGATTCTTTTCATGTATGTTTTAAAAAGGACCCAATGTGGCCAGGCGCAGTAGCTCACACCTGCAATCCCAGCACTTTGGGAGGCTGAGGTCAGCGGATTGCTTGAGCCTAGGAGTTCAAGACCAGCCTGGGCAACATAGTGAAAACCAACTCTACAAAAAAACATTTTTTTTTTTTTTTTAAGACGGAGTTTTGCTCTTGTTGCCCAGGCTGGAGTGCAGTGGCGCAATCTCGGCTCACTGCAACCTCCGCCTCCCAGGTTCAAGCGATTCTCCTGCCTCAGCCTCCTGAGTAGCTGGGATTACAGGCACGTGCCACCATGCCCAGCTAATTTTGCATTTTTGGTAGAGATGGGATTTCTCCATGTTGGTCAGGCTGGTCTCGAACTCCCAACCTCAGGTGATCCGCCTGCCTCGGCCTCCCAAAGTGTTGGGATTACAGGCGTAAGCCACTGTGCCCGGTTGAGTTTATAGTTTTATAACCCTTATGGCAAATATCATAGTATTCTGCAGGGATAAGCACAAAACCACTTGTTTAATAAATGCAAACAGAAATGCTAACAATTCTTAAGACATTTCTAATCTTATTTTACCAATAAGTTTAAAGCCAGCTTTTGTGTTAAAGATTTATAACCACTGTTATTAACGTTTAAAATTCTATGCAGCTTAAAGCATTTATAATTGATAAAACTGCCGATACTGAGTGCCCGACCTAATATTTGAAAGGTGGCAGGCGTTCAGCCACAGTCGCTGAGTTAATCGGAGACGTAGAGAAGATGATGTCAGGGAGGGTTTTAGATATAAACACCCTGATATTTATCATTTTAACCACTTAGAAGTGCACATACGAGTCAATGGCATTGGCCAGGTGCGGTGGCTCACGCCTGTAATCCCAGCACTTTGGGAGGCCGAATCACAAGGTCAGGGTAGATCGAGACCATCCTACCTAACACGGTGAAACCCCGTCTCTACTAAAAATACAAAAAATTAGCCAGGCATGGTGGCGGGAGCCTGTAGTCCCAGCTACTCAGGGGCTCATGCCTCCATCTCCCAAGTAGCTGGGATTACAGGCGTGTGCCACCATGCCCGGCTAATTTAATGCCCAGCTAATTTTTGTATTTTTAGTAGAGATGGGGTTTCACCATGTTAACCAGGCTGGTCTCAAACTCCTGACCTCAAGTGATCCACCCGCCTCAGCCTCCCAAAGTGCTGGGATTACAGGCGTGAGCCACCGCGCCCGGCTGATTTTTATTCTTTTAATGAAGGCTGGTTGATATTACCTTGTCTGTATGTACCGCATGTTGTTTATCCATTGTTGTTGATGGTATTTGGCTGGTTTCACCTCTTGGCTATTGTGAATAAAGCTGCTATGAACACTGGTGTACAAATATGTTCGAGATCCTGTTTTCAATTCTTTTAGGTGTATACCCAGAAGTGGAACTGCTGGATTTTATGGCAATCCCACGTTTAACTTTTGGAGGAGCTGCTAAAACTGTTTTCCACAGCAGTGGCACCATGTTATGTCCCCGCCAGCAATGCACGCGCAGTCCAACTTCTCTGCATACTCACCAACGTTTGCTATTTTCCATTAAAAAAAAAATTATAGCTGGTCGGGCGCAGTGGCTCATGCCTGTAATCCCAGCCCTTTGGGAGGCCGATGTGGGCAGATCACCTGAAGTTCGGAGTTCAAGACCAGCCTGGCCAATGTGGTGATACTCCATCTCTACTAAAAATAGTTATGTGGTGGTGCACACCTATAACCCCAGCCATTTGGGAGGCTGAGGCTGCAGAATCACTTGAACCCAGGAGGTGGAGGTTGTAGTGGGCCGAGATGGCGCCACTGCACTCCAGCCTGGGCAAGAAGAGCGAGACTCTTTCTGGAAAAAAAAAAAAAAAAATTATAGCCATCCCAGAAGCTGTGAAGTCGTATCTCACTGTGGTTTTGATGAGTATTTTCCTAGCGACATCAGGGAGTTTATGGGAGCACGGGAACACAGGCCAGGCCCCAGCAGGCGAACGAATGGTGCAACGCCAGGCTGGCCAGAGGAGATAAGCGCGGCTCCTTGGAGCTTGTGTGCAAGTCACTGTCCTGGGGAGCTGGCTACGGCTCGATGAGTCTCAATTAGGAAAGGCCGGGGCTGGCGGAGGAAGGGAGGAGAGCATTCTTCATCCTCATCACATCCTGAGCCCATGCCCAGGCTCCCACCACTTCCCTCCCTGGCCACAGAGCTCAGGACAGGGCTGAGGAACCATGTCTCCATCCCCGACCGCCCTCTTCTGTCTTGGTGAGTCCTGAGGGTCGATCTGGGAAGTGCTGAAAGACAGGCCTGGACTGCCAGACAAAGGATTTTTTAAGAAATTTGTATCGGTGATGAATTTCAGGACAAAAAGGGACCTATGAGAGCCCTTTCATTGGTTGGGTGGGGAAGCGGAGGGCTAGCGAGGTGGTGTATTTTGCCTGAGTTATTCCAGCGTATTCGTGGCTGGGTCAGGAAATGAACAGAGGTATCCTAGCATTGGTCACAACTTTGTTCTACTACACTGCAGTTGCCCCTTTTTAAATAACCGTGGGCCAGGCACGGTGGCTCATGCCTGTAATCTCAACTTTGGGAGGCCAAGGTAGGTGGATCACCTGAGGTCAGGAGTTCAAGACCACCTGGCCAACATGGCGAAACCCCGTCTCTACAAAAATTAGCCGGGCATGATGGAGGGTGCCTGTAATCCCAGCTACTCGGGAGGCTGAGGTGGGAGAATTGCTTGAAACTGGGAGGCAGAAGTTGCAGTGAGCTGAGGTCAGGCATTGCACTCCAGCCTGGGCAACAGAGAGAGACTCCGTCTCAAAAAACCGCTGAGTGCCATGGCTCACGCACTTTGGGAGACCGAGGCGGACGGATCACCTGAGGTTGGGAGTTGGAGACCAGCCTGACCAACATGGAGAAACCCCATCTCTACTGAAAATACAAAATTATCTGGGCGTGGTGGCGCACGCCTGTAATCCCAGCTACTCTGGAGGCTCAGGCAGGAGAATCGCTTGAATCCGGGAGGTGGAGGTTGCGGTGAGCCGAGATCACACCATTACACTCAGGCCTGGGCAACAAGAGCAAAACTCTGTCTCAAAAAAACAAACAAACGAACAAAAATTGTGGACTTGATGATATCTGGACTAGGTTATGGATTTAATTTGTCAGTATCCCCTACAGCAGTGGAGTAATAAGAGTCTCCTGACCGATGGGTGGCAGGTCGAATGCATTTCCGCTGCCTGCTCTTCACTTGTGCTGGGCATGTCGAATGCATTATTTCCTGATTTCTTCAGGAGAATCTGACCACTAAAGGGACAGCATCTCCAAAAGGCTAAGCAGGAAGGAGATGGTTGTGTTACTGGAGATGAGAGGGTTAACTGTGAATACAAACAACCTCTCATTCATTATCCATCCACGGATGTATTCTCTAACTTTTTTTTTTTTTTTTTGAGATGGAGTCTCGCTCTGTTGGTCGCTCAAGCTGGAGTGCAGTGGCACGATCTCAGCTCACTGCAAACTCCGCCTCCCAGGTCCAAGTGATTCTCCTGCTTCAGCCTCTGAAGTAGCTGGGATTACAGGCATCTACCACCAGGTCCGGCTAATTTTTATATTTTTAGTAGAGACAGGGTTTCACCATGTTGGCCAGGCTGGACTTGAACTCCTGACTTCAGGTGATCCACCCGCCTCGGCCTCCCAAAGTGCTGGGGTTACAGGCGTGAGCTACCGCGTCCGGCCTGTTTTAACTTTTATTTATTTAATTTTACTCAAGACAGGGCCTCACTTCTGTCACCCAGGCTGGAGTGCAGTGACATGACCATGGCTCACTGCAGCCTCCACCTCCCAGGCTCAACCAATCCTTCCCCATCAGTCTCCTGAGTAGCTGGAACTAGAGTTGCACACCATCACGCCTGGCTCATTTTTGTAATTGTTGTAGTTATGGGGTCTCGCTATGCTGCCCAGGCTGGTCTCGAACTGTTGGGTTCAAGCCATCCACCCACCTCGGCCTCCCAAAGTGTTGGGGTTACAGGTGTGACCTGTACAGGTTACTGCCTCTGGCTTAATTTTTGCTTCAATTGCTTTTGGGATACAAGTGGTTGTTGGTTACATGGATGAACTATATAGTGGTGAATTCTGGGATTTTAGTGCACCTGACACCTGAGTAGTGTTACCTTGTACCTAATGTGTAGTTTTTCATCCCTACCCCCCTTCTGCCCTTCCCTTCTGAGTCTCTGAAGTCCATTACATCACCCTGTATATACGCCTTCGCACACCCACAGCTTAGCTCTCACTTGTGAGAACATACAGATTTTTGTTTTCCACTCCTGTGTTACTTTACTTAGAATAATGCCTTCCAGCTACATCCAAGTTGCTGCAAGACTTTTTTTTTTTTTTGAGACGGAATCTGGCTGTTGCCGAGGCTGGAGTACAGCAGCATGATCTCGGCTCACTGCAACCTCCTCCTCCCGGGTTCACGCCATTCTCCTGCCTCAGCCTCCCAAGTAGCTGGGACTACAGGCGCCCGCCACCACGCCCAGCTAATTTTTGTATTTTTAGTAGAGACGGGGTTTCACCATGTTGAGGAGGATGGTCTTGATCTCTTGACCTCATGATCCACCGGCCTCGGCCTCCCAGAGTGCTGGCATTACAGGTGTGAGCCACTGTGCCTGGCCAAAGGACATTATTTTGTTCCTTTTAATGGCTGAGTAGTATTCCACACTCATTTATTTTTACTTATTTTTTGACATGGAGTCTCACTCTGTCGCCCAGGCTGGAGTGCAGTGGCATGATGTCAGCTCACTGCAACCTCCATCTCCCAGGTTCAAGTGATTCTCCTGCCTCAGCCTCCTGAGTAGCTGGGATTACAGGCTCCTGCCACTACGCCCAGCTTATTTTTGTACTTTTAGTAGAGACAGGGGTTCACCATGTTGGTCAGGCTGGTCTTGAACTCCTGACTTCAGGTGATCCACCCGCCTTGGCTTCCCAAAATGCTGGGATTACAGGCATGAGCCACCGCGCCCGGCCAGTGAGAACTTTAAAATCTACTCTCAGTGATATGCGAGTGTGCAATATGTTGTTATTAACTACAGTCACCATGACGTGCAATAGATCTCCAAGACACACTCCTCCTGTCCAACCGAAACTGTGTCTCCTTTGACCAACATCTCCCCAAACCTTACCCCACCACCCCGGTAACCACCTCTGCTCCTGTAAATTCCCAAGTCCACACTCTCCACCACTAAACGGTGCTGCTAGGGTTTGAACTCACCTCCTGCCAGGTGTAGGACTGTGGATAAGATACTGTCTCACTAGCCTGATGTATAAGAGGGGGCTGATAACGGTAGCTAACCCGTACGATTATGGCGACCTGGAGTCCACGCACAGGAGGCGCTCAGCACGGCACCTGGAAAGTTCCCAGTCATGGTACAGGGTCGCACGGAAACCTACAAAGAGGCTGAGGTGGGCTGTGATGGGGCAGGAGGAGGGGGACAGAGAAGCGGCCGGAGCTTGGGTTGGGGTGCAGAGGGAGCCTGCGGTCGACAAAGGCTGGTGGCCACTGGGGAGCTGGTGACCAGTTGTCACTCTCTGAGCTCAGAGTCAAGAGACATCTGGGTTCACCCACTTCTTGCTATGTGAGCTACAGAAGGTTGCTCAGCCTCTGCCCAGTTTTCTTGTTTGCAGTGGGAATGACAGCTATCCCGCCTGTGTGTGTGTGTGTGTGTGTAAGAATGAGGGTTACCAGATAAAACACTGGATGCTTGGTTAAATTTGAATTTCAGATAATTAGTACTTTTTTTTTCTCTCCTTCTTATTTTACTGAGACAGGGTCTTGCTCTGTTGCCCAGTCCTGAGTGCAGTGGTGCAATCTCAATTTTTTTTTTTTTCTTGAGATGGAGTCTTGCTGTGTCTCCCAGGCTGGAGTGCAGTGGCACGATCCTGGCTCACTGCAACCTCCACCTCCCGGGTTCAAGTAATTCTCCTGACTCAGCCTCCCAAGTAGCTGGGATTACAGGCACGTGCCACCATGCCCAGCTAATTTTTTATATTTTTAGTAGAGATGGTGTTTCACCATGTTGACCAGGCTGGTCTCAAACTCCTGACCTTGTGATCCACCCACCTTGGCCTCCCAAAGTGCTGGGATTATAGGCATGAGCCACCGCGCCTGGCCAGTGGTGCAATCTTACCTTACGGCAGCCTTGACCTCCTGGGCTCAAGCAATCCCAGGAGGGGATCACTTATATACATGTATTTATATACACATATACCTATGTGTGCATATACATACATGTACACACATGTGCATATGTACATGCACATATACATGTATGCACAGATGTATGTATACATATATGCACTATATGTGTATATACATAGTGATTAGATCAGGGTAAGCAGCACACCCATGATCTCAAACATGCATCCTTTCTCTGTGTTGGGAACTTTCATCATCCTCCTTAAGGCTACTTGAAACGATATACTATCATATGTATTACATCCTACCATGTAATCACAGAATATTGATTCAACCAAACGTTGCAAATACTGCAAAACCCATGGCCAGTACACGCTGAGATGACCTGACTTACACACTGGGGCTCCATCCTGCTGCATCCCTGGAGCCCAATGCATCCCATTAGTGTGGGGTTTTACTGCATATATTACATATACAACAAAATACAACAATATACAATATGCAATAGTATTTACAATACTTGTCTATACAATTGTGTACTATTGGAATGCCCTTGGATATTGTTTCATATTGGGAGACCGAAGGGAGGAAACGAAGGGACAGCAATATCTGAGGTCCCATTCCTCATATCCACTGAGGAAATCAATGGGCAAATGTCTAACACGAAGGAATCCACAGATAGCAGCATGCGTACCTTTTCCTAGAACAATGAAGATATAAAAATGCCAGAAGGAACAACTGAAATAGTAAAAAATGTATGCGGGGCGGGGACAGTGGCGGGAGCTGGACAGGGTGGGTCAAGGAATCTCTGCTTGACTTTCAAAAGATCTATTTTTTGAGACGGGGGTCTCACAATGCTGTCCAGGCTGGAGCGCAGTGGGCACCATCTTGGCTCACTGCAGGCTCGACCAGGAATCCTGGGCTCAAGGAATCCTCCCAACCTCAGCCACCCCAAGTAGCTTGGACCACAGGCACACACCACCACGCCTGCCTAATTTTTTTTTTTTGGTGGAAATGAGGTCTCACTATGTTGGCCAGGCTGGTCTCCCACTCCTGAACTGAGATGATCCGCCCTCCTTGGCCTCCCAAAGCGCTGGGATTACAGTGTGAGCCGCCATGCCTGTCCTTAAAATAGTTGTCATTGTGGTAAAATACATAGAAAAGTGTGCTATAGCTGGCATTTGGTACATTCAATGTTGTGCAACCATCACCTCTATCTAACTCCAAGACATTTTGGCACCCTCCGAGGGAACCCCACGCCCGTTAAGCCGCCACATCTCCCCTCCTCTCCCACCACCCCCAGCCATGGATCTGTTTTCTTCTGCGTCTTCTACAGATTTACCTATTCTGGATATTTCATGTAAACGACCTCATAGACGAGGTGGCTTTTTCTGACTGGCTTCTCTCACTTAAATTACATGCACATGTATCTTTTGAAGAAATAAATAATTAGGACAGAATAAAGCATATGCGTGCAAATGTCTTATCACCGCGCCCAGCAGGCGGGAATGTCCATAAAAGCGCGTCCTGGCATCTGGTCCCTTTCTTCTTTCCTCAGGGCTGTGTCTGGGGCATGTGCCAGCGCAGAGAGGTGAGTCCTTCCCCCAGGCCCCTTCCCTCCTGCGGGATCCGCCAGCGTGCCAGGGCAGCGGGGCCCAGGCGGCGTCTGCGGGGAGGCTGACCCAGCCCTGCTCCTCTTCCAGGACCGCTGCCTAAGCCCTCCCTCCAGGCTCTGCCCAGCTCCCTGGTGCCCCTGGAGAAGCCAGTGACCCTCCGGTGCCAGGGGCCTCCGGGCGTGGACCTGTACCGCCTGGAGAAGCTGAGTTCCAGCAGATACCAGGACCAGGCGGTCCTCTTCATCCCGGCCATGAAGAGAAGTCTGGCCGGACGCTACCGCTGCTCCTACCAGAACGGAAGCCTCTGGTCCCTGCCCAGCGACCAGCTGGAGCTCGTTGCCACCGGTAAAGGAAGGGGGATCCGAGCCTGGGAGTGCCTGGTCCTCCGTTCAGGGCACAAATATGGGGGACATTGAGAGCAGGGATTAGGGCCGGAATTAGGACGAGGCAAACCAGGCACTGGCCTAGCGGGTGGTGGTGCCACAACATTTATGGATCAATGTGAATAATATTTTATATATTTTTTGGACACAGGGCCTTGCTGCGTCACCCACGCTGGAGTGCGGTGGTGCGATCTTGGCTCACTGCAGCCTCCACTTCCTAAGTTCAAGTGATTCTCCTGCCTCAGCCCTCCAAGTAGCTGGGACTACAGGTGTGCACCACCATGCCCAGCTCATTTTTAATTTTTTTTGTGCAGATGGGGTCTCTTGACAGTTTTCACAAAAGGCATTAAAATAAAAGAGAGAGAGAGGGTCTCGCTATGTTGCTTAGGCTCTCAAACTCCTGGGCTCAAGCAATCCTCCCACTTTGGCCTCCCAAAGTGTTGGGATTACAGGCCTGAGCCACTGCATCTGGGTGTGAATAACATTTTAATGCAATTTTTAAAAAAATCAAAATAAATTGCAAACCATCCACGATGAAAAAAAAAAAATCAGAATTTCAAATAAAGGCAGAATCAGGCAGTGCCTGTGCCAAGTCATACCAGAGCCTGTGCTAAAACGAAAAACAGGCACCCCTTTATCTGTGTTTTAATGCACTTAAAAAAATTAGAGATGGGCTCTTGCTATCTGGCCCAGGCTGGAGTGCAGTGGCTGTTCACAGGAGCAATCATAGCTCACGGCAGCCTGGAACTCCTTGCCTTAAGCAATCCTCCTGCCTCAGCCTCATGAGTAGCAGGGACTACAGTCACAGGCCACCATGCTTGGCTCAGGATTCTTTTTAATTAAAAACTTGGTTTTGGAATCATTTTTAGACTGACAGAAAAGTTGCAAAGATAATATTAATGAAAATGTTTCACCCAGGATCCCCTCATGTTAACATCTTACATTTGTTACAACTAAAAAATAAACATAGCACTGGTCCCAGTGGCTCACACCTGTAATCCCAGCACTTTGGGAGGCTGAGGCAGGAGGACCACTTGAGCCAGGGAGGCTGAGGCTGCAGGGAGCTGTGATCATGCCTCTGCACTTCAGCTGGGATGACAGAGTGAGACCCTGTATCAACAAACAAACAAACAAACAAAAAACTAACCATAGGCCAGACGCGGTGGCTCACACCTGTAATCCCAGCACTTTGGGAGGCCGAGGTGGGCAGATCACAAGGTCAAGAGATCGAGACCATCCTGGCTAACACAATGAAACCCCGTCTCTACTAAAAATACAAAAAAATTAGCCGGGCGAGGTGGCGGGCACCTGTAGTCCCAGCTACTCAGGAGGCTGAGGCAGGAGAATGGCGTGAACCCGGGAGGTGGAGCTTGCAGTGAGCCGAGATAGCACCACTGCACTCCAGCCTGGGTGACAGAGCGAGACTCTGTCTCAAAAAAAAAAAAAAAAAAAAAAAAAAATCATAATAAATCTTTCTTTCAGGGGAATAAGTAAAGTATTCAAATAGAATAATGTGAGTTTTAATGACCTACTCTTCAAATTTTCAAACATTTTTTCAAATATGTTAATTGTTTGGGAATAATTACATTTTACATCCCAGGAGAGTGCCTCACTCATGCCACCCTAATTCCTGGCCCGCTGCACTGTGGTCTCTTCTGCGTTGTAAACTCTGCCTACCTCCCCTCTTTCCTCCCTCACTCCTCTCTGCTGCTAGGATGGACCAGCCTGGCCACTTCATTACTTCTTTTGGAGTCAGACTCAAATGCCATCTTCTTATTAAGTATTTACCCCATCACCCTAGTCAAAATGGCCCTCCTCACTATCTGGTATGTCAAGTATACCTTTATTTACCTTGGTGATGGTTGTCTATTTTTAATTCCTGATGGGATTTTTTTTGTTGTTGTTAGAATACAGGGCTGGGAGCAGGTGGCTCATGCCTGTAATCCCAGCACTTTGGGAGGCCAAGGCGGGTGGATCACCTGAGGTCAGAGGTTCAAGACCAGACTGGCCAACATGGTGAAACTCTACAAAATACAAAAATTAGCCGGGCATGATGGTGAGTGCCTGTGATCCCAGCTACTCGCCAGGCTGAGGCAGAAGAATTGCTTCAACCTGGGAGGTGGAGATTGCAGTGAGCTGAGATCACGCCATTGCACCCCAACCTGGGCGACAGAGCAAAACAAAACAAAACAGAACCAAACAAAACAAAACAACAAAAAAAGAATACAGACAGACACATAATAGTTGCTTAAGAGAAAATTAAGAGACAATTTGCTGAGTGAATGTTACAATTATCAGGCAGCTTATATCCTTCCTTCCTTCCACCCTCTCTTCCTCCCTCTCTCCCTTCCTCCTTCTCTTTCTTCTTCTTACTGAGTGAATGCCATAATTATCAGGCAGTTTATATTTTTCTCTTCCTTACTTCCTTTCGTTTTCTCTCTTGGTCTTTTTTTGAGACAAGGTCTCACTCTGTCACCCAGGCTGGAGTATAGTGATCATGGCTCACTGCAGCCTCGACTTCCTAGGCTCAAGCAATCCTCCCACATTGGCCTCCCAAAGTGCTGGGATGACCGGTGTGAGCCGCCGCACCCGGCCTCAACCTTTGTCTTACTGACTCCTGGGTGCAGGCATGCATCACCACACTGGACTATGACAATACCCTCATGTCAGAGTAGTGTAGGTTCGTGCTGAGGAGTGGAGACCCTAGAATCAAACTCCGTGAGTGCAAATTTCAGCTCTGTCCCTTATAATCTTGGACGAGTTATTTATTTATTTTTAAATTAAAAATTTTCCAGGTTTGTTGAGTTATAATTGAAAAACAAAAATGGAACATATCCAAGGCATACATGTTTTGATGTACGTATCCACTGTGAGATAGTTACCACGAGCAAGCTAATTAACATACATCACCTCGCACAGTTAACTTTTCTTTTGCGTGTGAGAACACTTATGATCTACCCTCTTAGCAAATTTCAAGTACGCACTGCTGTCTTGTTACCTAGGGTTGGACAAATTCTTTAACGCCATGTGCCTTAGTTTCATTTATAAAATAGGGATGTTAAGAGTGAGAACTGATGTACGGCATGAGTTCGGAAGGCACCCGGAGCTGGCACCGTCAGCCACGTTTCCAACGTAATGATTGTATGTGGCAATGCAAGCTTACGGCATGGTATAAGCTCAAGCTGTTTACTTACTCCCATCTCATTTCAAGCGCTTGCTAGGCAACAGGCACTCTGCTAAATGCTTACGGTGTACTGTCTCGTTCGATCATCCCCATTTTAGCAGAACAAGGCACTGAGGCTCAGATAGAGAGGGAGATTTGTCTCCGGGGCCACTTAAAGGCAGAACCGGGATTCGCACCCAGGCACTAGAATGTGGGCACACAGCCTCGCTTCCTCAACCGCTCGGTGCTTGACCTCTCTGTGAGCTTGGCTGGGGGAGTGCGCTGTCTGGGACGGATACAGCCAGAAAGCTCCCCAGCTCTCAGGCAGGTGTGGGCACCTCCCCAGTCTCAGCTGAGACGCTGGCTGCTGCCTTTAACATCAGACTTTCCTTTTCTCCCAGGAGTTTTTGCCAAGCCCTCGCTCTCAGCCCAGCCCGGCCCGGCGGTGTCCTCAGGAGGGGACGTGACCCTACAGTGTCAGACCCGGTATGGCTTTGACCAATTTGCTCTGTACAAGGAAGGGGACCCTGCGCCCTACAAGAATCCCGAGAGATGGTACCGGGCTAGTTTCCCCATCATCACGGTGACCGCTGCCCACAGCGGAACCTACCGGTGCTACAGCTTCTCCAGCAGGGACCCATACCTGTGGTCGGCTCCCAGCGACCCCCTGGAGCTCATGGTCACAGGTAGGGGTGGTGCAGACCAAACCTGTCTTCCTCAGCCTTTGTAGGTCCTGAGGGCCATTCGGAGTGGGGGGCCATAGGTGGGGAGGAAGTGGGAGGGCAGGAAGCCCTGGGTTGCAGGCATCTGGGAGGATGGAGGTTTCTTTTCTTTTCTTTTTGATGAAGTCTTACTCTGTCACCCAGGCTGGAGTGCAGTGGGGCGATCTCAGCTCACTGCAACCTCCGTCTCCCAGGTTCAAGCGATTCTCCTGCCTCAGCCTCCCGAGTAGCTGGGATTACAGGTGCCTGCCACCATGCCCGGCTAATTTTTGTATTTTTAGTAGAGACGGGGTTTCACCGTGGGTCAGGCTGATCTCGAACTTCTGACCTCATGATCTGCCTGCCTCAGCCTCCCAAAGTGCTGGGATTACAGGCGTGAACCACCATGCCAGACTTGACTACCATTCTTAAAGGGAGTTTCTTTCAAAAGAGAGCAGCATACCTCATATATATGTGGTTATATAACAATGTGGTTATATACATGCAATGGAATATTACGCAACCTTAAAAAAGAAGGAAATTCTGACACCTACTACAACATGGATTTGCCTTGAGGACATTATGCTAAGTAAAATAAATCAGTCACAAAAGGACAACTACTGTATGATTCTACTCAAAGGAGGTATCTAATGTCAAAATTGTAGAAACACAAAATTGTTGTTAAGGGCCAGAAAGAGGGGAGAGCAGGAATTAGTGTTTAATGGGCATAGAGTTTCAGTTTTGCAAAAAAAATAACTTCTAGAGGTCAACATATTGTACCACAATGTGAACATACCCAATGCCACTGGTCAGTGCACTTAACAACGTCATATTAAATCAAACAAAATACATCATTTAGTTTTTTGGTAGAAAAAGTCTGTTTTGCCCCCAGGGTCACAGTGAGGAGTAGGACACAGGAATCCAGAAGAAATAGAACTCAGGTTCAAAAAGGAGGGACAGGAGTTACATGCATTTCCTTGTTAAGTATCCCAGAATGTGCCAGGTGTGCTTTACAAATGCTGCCTTTTTTTTTTTTTCTTTTTTTTGAGAGTCTTGCTCTGTCACCCAGACTGGAGTGTAGTGGTGTGATCTCGGCTCACTGCAACCTGCACCTCCTGGGTTTAAGCGATTCTGCTGCCTCAGCCTCCACCTCCCGGGTTTAAGCGATTCCCCTGCCTCAGCCTCCCGAGTAGCTGGGATTACAGGCACCTGCCATCATGCTCAGCTAATTTTTGTATTTTTGTAGATATGGGGTTTCACCATGTTGGACAGGCTGGTCTTGAACTCTTGGCCTCAGGTGATCTGCCCGCCTCGGCAAAGTGCTGGGATTACAGGTGTGAGCCACCATGCCTGGCTAAGCCTTTTTTTTTTTCTTCTTTTTTTTTTTTTGAGATGGAGTCTTATTGCATCGCCCAGGCTGGAGTGCAGTGGTGTGATCTCGGCTCGCTGCAACCTCTGCCTCCCAGGTTCAAGCGATTCTCCTGCCTCAGCCTCCCAAGTAGCTGGGACTACAGGTGCGTGCCACAATGCCTGGCTAATTTTTGTATTTTCGATAGAGACGGGTTTCACCACCTTGGCCAGGCTGGTCTTGAACTCCTGACCTCAGGCGATCTGCCCACCTCGGCCTCCCAGAGTGCTGGGATTACAGGTGTGAGCCACTGCACCCCGTCAGAAATACCATTTGACCCAGCAATCCCATTACTGGTTATATATCCAAAGGCATATAAATCATTGTATTATAAAGATAACACGCACACATATGTTCATTGCAGCACTATTCACAATAGCAAAGACATGGAATCTACCCAAATGCCCATCAGTGACAGGCTGCATAAAGAAAATATAGTACATACACAGCATGGAATACTATGCAGCCCTAAAAAGGAATGAGGTCATGTCCTTTGCAGGGACATGGATGGAGCTGGAAGCCATTATCCTCAGCAAACTAACGCAAGAACAGAAAAGCAAACACCACACTTTCTCACTTGTAAGTGGGAGCTGAACAATGAGAACACGTGGACACAGGGAGGGGAACAACACACACTGGGGCCTGTAGGGGGAGTCGGGGGAGGGAGAGGATCAGGAAAAAGAGCTAACGCGTGTGGGGTTTAATACCTAGGAGATGGTTGATGGGTGCAGCAAACCACACGTTTACCTGTGTAACAAACCTGCACCTCCCGCACATGGATCCTGGAACTTAAAATAAATTTTAATTAAAAAAAAAAAAGAAACAAGGCTTATTAATGCATCTCACAGGAAGTAACAAAGACCAAATAATACCCACACTCTCATTATGCCACAGAGAGCTGAGCATAAACTAGGGGTCCACCATAAACAGACTCCCAGGATGGTACCCACCACCACAAGAGCTTCATATTTATCAGCCGAGGCAGTTCAGGAAACATTTTGGTGGCCACGGGAGGTCCCTGGTTAAGAAAATGGCCTAAGTAGAAAGGTGGAGATCCCATGTTCTGAGGCTAACACAAGCTCATTCTTTTTTTTTTTTTTGAGACAAAGTCTCACTCTGTCGCCCAGGCTGGAGTGCAGTGGTGCGATCTTGGCTCACTGCAACCTGCGCCTCTTGGGTTCACGCCATTCTCCTGCCTCAGCCTCCCAAGTAGCTGGGACTACAGGCACCTGCCACCACGCCCGGCTAATTTTTTGTATTTTTAATAGAGATGGGGTTTCACCGTGTTAGCCAGGATGGTCTCGATCTCCTGACCCTGTGATCTGCCCGCCGCGGCCTCCCAAAGTGCTGGGATTACAGGCGTGAGCCACCGCGCCCGGCCGACACAAGCTCATTATTCTTCTGAGGCTAACACCAGCTCATTCTTCCTAACATGAGTTCATGAAAATGCGGATCCACTTATTCTTCTTCAAACTGAGACATAATCCACATACCACAAAATGTACCATGCCAACTAGGATGGCTGTCATTATTAAAATAAAACAAACGGACAGGAAGTATTGGTGAGGATTTGGAAGAACCTCCCTGTATTGCTGGTGGGAATATAAAATGGTGCAGCGGCCTTGAAAAACAGTCTGTGGCCAGGCGCAGCCTGTAATCCCAGCACTTTGAGAGGCTGAGGAGGGTGGATCACAAGGTCAGGGATCGAGACCATCCTGGCCGACATGGTGAAACTCAATCTCTACTAAAGTACAAAAAAAAATTGGCCGGGCGAGGTGGCGGGCGCCTGTAGTCCCAGCTACTCGGGAGGCTGAGGCAGGAGAATGGCGTGAACCCGGGAGGCGGAGCTTGCAGTGAGCTGAGATCGCGCCACTGCACTCCAGCCTGGGCAACAGAATGAGACTCCGTCTCAAAAAAAAAAAAAAAAAACTACCAGCTTATAGTAAAAACTCCATCCTCTACTAAAAATACAATGCTTAAGCAAATCGCAGCGCCTAGTCCCCGGCTGCTGGGAGGCTGAGGCGTTTTGAAAGTAGGCGCTTGGATGACAGGATGGGACAGATGTAGAGAGGAAGAGAGAGAAAGGCAGCAAAAAAAAAAAAAAAGAAAAAGAAAAGGAAAAAAAAAAAAAGAAAAGAAAAGAAAGAAAAACAGTCTGGTAGTTTTTCAAAAAGTAAAAAGTAAAACACAGAGTTACTCTATGACCCAGTGATTCCACCACCCCCGGTACCCAAGAGAACAGAAAACTTATGATCACACAACTTGTATGTGAACGTTCACAGCAGCAATACTCACAATAGCAAAACGTGGGAAAAACCCAAGTGCCCATCAACTGATGAACGGATCTGCTTCTTACCAAGCCGGCGATGGAAGATAAGTCTCACGCCTTTCGAATCTGTCTGTATTCAGCGTCTGTGCTGTGTGTGTCAGAGAAAGGGGTTACAGGGAGCCTAGACATCTCAGAAGAGGAATGGAGGTACCTAGAGGATCTAGGGAACCACGGGGAAGACCTCACATTGTTTTGCTTTCTTATAATTCTTAGAATTCTCAGAAGCCACCACTGAACTGACCGTCTCCCTCACAAACAAAGTCTTCACAACCGGTGAGTCACCAGGCATTTCACGCTCAGCAGGAAGGAGTGTGAGGACGGAGCTCTCTCTTCCACTATCTAAGCCTATCGGCTTTTAATCGCTTCACGGAACTGTCTGTCTCATCCCAAGAAAGTCCTCGGTGTGAGGACGGAGCATGGGCTCAGAGGGGAGCTCTGGGGTTCAGGAGGAGGAGCATTTTGGGTAACGGGGCCATTTCAAAGACGGCGGGGTCAAGGCTGTGGCGGGAACACCGCCAGCTATCCCTACGCACTGCTCCCAGGGTAAAGTCCTAGGCCTTTGGACTGGGCTGTGATCCGAGTATTTAATCTTCCTCCCCACTGTGTCCAGGTAGAACCCGTGCTCGGACGCACAGACTGTAGGTAGAACCTGTGCTGGGACGCACAGACTGTAGGCGCCTGGACCTAGTACACCTTCTAACCACTCCAGGCCTCTGCAGATACGCTTTCCTCAGTCTCTTTCCCCTTGCCTTTCCTGGAAAATCCCCATTTCCTTCCAGACTAAACACCTTCACGGATTCCCTGATAATAGGTTAGGCATCTCCATTGGGCCCACGGGACTCTTGCTTTCACGAGGCACCTGATCCCAGAGAGTTCTATTTTTATTTTTTATTTTTTTGAGGTGGAGTCTTGCTCTGTCACCCAGGCTGTAGTGCAGTGGCGAGATCTCGGCTCGCTGTAACCTCTGCTGCCCGGGTTCAAGCGATTCTCCTGCCTCAGACTCCAAGTAGCTGAGATAACAGGTGCGCGCCACCATGCCTGGCTAATTTTTGTATTTTTAGTAGAGACGGGGTTTCAGCATCTTGGCCAGGCTGGTCTTGAACTCCTGACCTTGGGATCCACCTGTCTCGGCCTCCCAAAGTGCTGGGATTACAGGCGTGAGCCACTGCGTCCGGCATATCCCAGAGAGTTCTAACCCTGTGATGGTGTCCTTCCCTATCTTTAGTTCAGAACCTCCCAATCACCCTCAGGATGCAGTTCTAATTTGTCAGCTTGCTATTGCATGAGCTTAGATATCCAGCCACTGTTGATCCCTCCAATCTTGTCTGCATACCTTCCATTCATTCCCATGCTGTTCTCAGCCCCACACAGTCACTTGAATCTCTTCTGGAGGCTTCCTAACCTCTCCTGACTCTGCATCCAATCTACTTGCTCTGCCTTTTCTTCCATTTCCCCATGGCGTCAATTCCTCACGAAAGCCTTGGCCGTCCAGGCTGGATTCGTGGCTTCCTCTGCTCTCGCTCAGTGTCTTGTGGGCTGTCTATTACAGTAATGTTCACAGTATATTAAAATTATCGCTTTGCTGTCGTCCCCGCACTTTGGGAGGCCAAGGCGGGTAGATCACCTGAGGTCAGGGGACCAGTCTGGCCAACATGGTGAAACCCTGTCTCTACTGAAAATACAAAAATTAGCCGGGTGTGGTGGCGGGCAACTGTAATTCCAGCTACTTGCAAGGCTGAGGCAGGAGAATCGCTTGAACCCAGGAGTTGGAGGTTGCAGTGAGCTGAGATCACTCCAGCCTGGGCAACAGAGTGAGACTCCATATTTTTAAAAAAAAAAAAATCGCTTTACTTCTGTCTCCTCCAATGGTCTGGGAACCGCAGATGGACAATGTCTTATGTTTTTGTTGTTTTGAGACGGAGTCTCACTCTGCTCACTCTAGGATCTGTGACTTCGGCTCACTCTGCGATCTCGGCTCACTGCAACCTCCGACTCCTGAGTAGCTGGGACTACAGGCGTGCGCCACCATGCCCAGCTAATTTTCGTATTTTTAGTAGAGACGGGGTTTCACCTTGTTGGCCAAGATGGTCTCCATTTCTTGACCTCAGGTGATCCGCCTGCCTTGGCCTCCCAAAGTGCTGGGATTACAGGCGTTCAGCCAGTGCCATGCCTGGCCTGACAATGTCTTATTAATATGTGGGTTCCCATGGCCCAGCACATGGCTGATTACCCGGCAAGTCTCAGGAGAAACTCGAGAAATAAAAGAGCTGGCACGTATGAGGTGCTCACATGTCAAGCACCGTGCTTTATATTACTACTGTTATTATTATCTTGACTTTCACATCAACCTATGAGGGATCTCGTTAATTTTATTGGACACATGGGGAAACTGGCTCACAGATGCTGAGTCACTTGCCAGATAGCTCACATCTAACAGGTGATAGAGTTGGGGTTCAAATCTGGAGGACAGCCTGACTTTATAGTTCATGCTTTTTTTTTTTTTTTTTCTTGGACAGGGTCTTGCTCTGTTTCCCAGGCTAGAGTGCAGTGGTGCAATCCTGGCTCACTGCAGCCTCAACCTCCCAGGGCTCAGGTGATCTTCCTGCCTCAGCCCCCACTGAATAGCCGGGATTACTGGCACGTGCCACCACACCTGGCTAATTTTTGTATTTTTTGTAGAGATAGGGTTTTTTCCATGTTGCTCAGGTGGGTCTTCAACGCCTGGACTCAAGCCAGCCTCCCACCTCAGCCTCCCAAAGTGTTGGGATTACAGGCATGAGGCACCATGCCCGGCCCATGCTCTTCTTAAATGCTGTGGAATTCGACCTCCCCATGTGTGTGTGTTCGGAGTAGGCACAGTGACAGGGGGAGGGAATATGGTTTCATTTCACACTTAGCCTTTTTTTTGGTTCCCAGAGACTTCTAGGAGTATCACCGCTAGTCCAAAGGAGCCAGGCTCTCCAGCTGGTGAGTAAGTTGTCCTCTCCAGACCCCCTTCTTTCTCACCCATCTCCACCCAAAGCCAAGTCCTTTGTCTACACAGGGGCTGCAGCTCTCAGCTCTTGGGTTCCAGTGTGTAGAGTGAAGGCAGAATATCAGCGTATGGGGTTCAGAATTGCGCATTAAAATCAGGCGGGAAGGTTGAGATTTTAAAAAGGGTCACAGAAAGAGATTCCATCTCTTCCCCACCCTTATAACTGTCTTCCCTTTTGCAATACATCAGATAAGGAGGCAGCATCGGTGTCTGGGGAGGAGTTAGTTGTCTCAGAGCCTTGTGAGAGCACACGAGGGAGAGACGCTACTTAGAGAATTGGGGTCATCGGGCCCTGACACCTACTCGGGAGGGGAGGAACCCTCCAGGAAAGAGAATGGCATCCCAGCTAGTAGAGGACAACAGGATCTCTGAGAAGCCCAGGATGTGGCTCGGAGAGGGTCCTGGAGGTGGGCTTTTTCACCCGCTCCTGCCTGTCCTCATTCCTCCAGGTCCCGCCCGCCAGCACTACACCATGGGCAACCTGGTCCGCATATGCCTCGGGGCTGCGATCCTAATACTCCTGGCAGGGTTTCTGGCAGAGGACTGGCACAGCCGGAGGAAGCGCCTGCGGCACAGGGTCAGGGCTGTGCAGAGGCCGCTCCCGCCCCTCCCGCCGACCCGGAAATCACACGGGGATCAGGATGGAGGCCGACCGGATGTTCACAGCCGCGGGTTACGTTCATGACCACCGAACCCCAGGCATGGTCGTATCCAAGGGACGGATCATGGCATGGGAGGCGACTCAAAGACTGTGGCGTGTGTGGAGCATGGGAGCAGGAGGGCAGAGGCTACGGCTGTGGAAAGGAGGCCATGCTGCCTCCTCCTGGTGTTCCCTCAAGGAGCCGTTCAGCCAGTGTCTGTCTGTCTGGCTCTCTGTCTGAGGGCACCTCCATTTGGGATGGAAGGAATCTGTGGAGACCCCATCCTCCTCCCTGCACACTGTGGAGGACACGGTGCCCTGGCTGGACCACATACTGGCTTCTTTCTTTAACCTTCTCTAATACGGGCTCCAGACGGACCTCTAACATTCCCAGCTCTCAGGGCTGACTCTGTTCCCTCCTCTGTGCAGAACCCTCCCGTGCTTCCCCTTGGCCCTCTGTGCTTTGTCTCGTGTCCCCCCAGAAACTCGCACCCTCACTCCATCTTCCACTGCAGTCTAACAAATCTCCTTTCGTCTCTCAGAACGGGCTGTGCAGGCAGTTTGGGTTATGTCATTCGTTTTCCTTAGTATAAAACTAGCACATTGCCCTCTTCCCTTCACATCAGAAAACAACATCGGCCTGTGCAACATGGTGAAACCCCATCTCTACCAAAACAACAAACATTAGCCAGGTGTGGTGGTGCATCCCTATTCTCCCAGCACCTCAGGAGGCAGAGGTGGGAGAACGGCTTGAGCCTGGGAGGCAGGGGTTGCAGTGAGCTGAGATCACATCACTGCACTCCAGCCTGGGTGACAAAGCCCGACCATGTCTCAAAAAAACAAAGTGATGAATATGCTAATTACCCTGATTTGATCAAAACCCATTGTACACATGTACTGAAATATTGCTGTCTACCCCATAAATAAGTACAATTATGTATACATTTTTAAAATAATAAAAATAAAATAAGATAATGCACCATCTCCACCCCTCTCATATTTACTTTCTGAAGGAAATGTTAGGTCTTCTCAAAGTCAAGTTCTATACTTATTATCACATTAGGCATTTCTTGACCATCTAATGCGTGTAAAACTGTACCACTGGGTCGGGTTGCAGTGGATCATGTCTGTAATCCTAGCACTTTGGGAGGCCAAGGCAGGAGGATCACTTGAGCCCAGGAGTTCAAGACCAGCCTGGGCAACATAGTGAGATCCCATCTCTACTTAAAGAAGATAAAAATTTTTTTAAGCCAGGTGCGGTGGCTCAAGCCTGTAATCCCAGCACTTGGGGAGGCCGAGGCGGGCGGATCACGAGGTCAGGAGATCGAGACCATCCTGGCTAACACGGTGAAACCCCGTCTCTACTAAAAAAAATACAAAAAACTAGCCGGGCGTGGTGGCGGGCGCCTGTAGTCCCAGCTACTCGGGAGGCTGAGGCAGGAGAATGGCGTAAACCCGGGAGGCGGAGCTTGCAGTGAGCCGAGATCGCGCCACTGCACTCCAGCCTGGGCGACTGAGCAAGACTCCGTCTCAACAAAAAAAAAAAAAAATTTTTTTTTTTTAAAAAGGAAAAGAATGACTGGCCACGATGGCTCATGCCTGTAATCCCAGCACTTTGGGAGGTTGAGGTGGGTGGGTCACTTGGGAAAAGACAGAAGGATGGCAGAAAGAAGCTCCAGGACGACGGCTGTGAATCAGGGCTAGTGAGCAAACAGCTTGGGTGAAAGGGAAACGGGAAGGTTGCTCAGAGAAACCTCCAAATGTAAGAATGGGTCAATTATTTGTCTTAACATAGTGGAAAATCATACTGAGATGCTATCAGAAGACAGATGAAAAATAATGATAGAGGTCAAGTAAACTAAGTAGATTTTAAAAAGACAAGTGTAGCCTAGGCAGAGTGGCTCACACCTGTAATCCCAGCACTTTGGGAGAATGAGGCAGGATCGCTGGAGCCTAAGAGTTCGAGACCAGCCTGGGCAACATGGTGAAACCTCGTCTCATATACAAAAAATACAAAAAATTAGCTGGATGTGGTACCACATACCTACTCTCAGGTACTCAGGAGGCTGAGGTTGGGGATCACCTGAGCCCGGGGAGGTTGAGGCTGCAGTGAGCCATGATTGCACCACTGCTCTCAAGCCTGAGACCCTGCCGCAAAAGAAAACAAAAATAAAGAGCAAATATAAACGTTAGGGGAACAACAACAACAAAAATAAAAGCAGCAAGTTATATTACCTGAAAATTCTCAGCTGTGAATATCTGTGGGTATAAAAATGTGATACTGGCCAGGCGCGGTGGCTCATGCCTGTAATCCCAGCGCTTTGGGAAGCTGAGGCGGGCGGATCACCAGGTCAGAAGATCAAGATCAGCCTGGCCAACATGGTGAAACCCCGTCTCTACTAAAAACACAAAAATTAGCCAGTCGTGGTGGCACACGCCTGTAGCCCCAGCTACTCAGGAGGCTGAGGCAGGAGAATCACTTGAACCCGGGAGGTGGAGGCTGCAGTGAGCTGAGATTGTGCTGCTGCACTTCAGTCTGGATGACAGAGTAAGACTCTGTCTCAAAAAAGAAAAAAAAAAAGTGATACTGAATATTGACGTGCAGACGTAGACAGAAACATTGGAAAAGAAAAAACAGTAAGAACAACACTGTAGAAGAACTAAGTCCCTGCCTATTATGATAGGAATCCAGTAAGTGTAAGCTCATTCACACGGTTACAGTTTTAGAAATCTAATATTAACAAGTTCCTCAAGAAAACAGCTAGGCCAGGATCGGTGGCTCAAGCCTGTAATCCCAGCACTTTGGGAGGCCGAGGTGGGCGGATCACGAGGTCAGGAGATCAAGACCATCCTGGTGAACACGGTGAACCCCCATCTCTACTAAAAATACAAAAAAATTAGCCGGGTGTGGTGGCCGGCGCCTGTAGTCCCAGCTTCTAGGGAGGCTGAGGCAGGAGAATGGCTTGAATCCGGGAGGCGACGGAACTTGCAGTGAGCCAGGATTGCGCCACTGCACTCCAGCCTGGTCGACAGAGCAAGACTCCGTCTCAAAAAAAAAAAAAAAGAAAAAAGAAAAAAGAAAACAGCTAACAGTGGGTGTCTCTTAGGCGGAGCAATGGAAGAGACGGTTGGTTAGCCATTGCATTTTGTACACACCCTTTTAGTGCTATTGGAATTTTTTAAGCAGGTGCGTGTATATTTTTGTAACACAATAAATAATAACAGTATACATCTTTTCTTTAAGACGTATGCTGTTAAACAGAATTAAGAACAGGAAGTCTCAAAATTGTTTCCTTCAGGAGAGAAGACTTACTGATGGGAGAGAGTTCTGAAACACCTGCTTTGCATACTGCTGCTTGAAGGGGTGGCCTGCCCCTCCACACCTGTGGGCGTTTCTCATTAGGTGGAACGAGAGACTTGAGAAAAGAAATGAGACACAGAGACAAAGTATTAAGAAAAAGTGGGCCCCGGGGACCGGCGCTCAGCGTACAGAGGACCCGCGCCGGCACCGTCTCTGAGTTCCCTTAGTATTTATTGATCATTATGTTTACCATCTTAAAGAAAAGGACGTGGCAGGATAATAGGATCATTGTAGGGAGAAAGTCAGCAGTAAGACTTATGAATAAAGTTCTCTGTGACATGAATAAGTTTAAGGAAAAGTGCTGTGCCTTGATATGCATATGTAAACATCTCCATAAACCTTTTTAGTGCATAAAGAGCAGCATTGCGCTAGCAAGTCCCACCTTTTGCCCTAAGGCGATTTTCTCCTATCTCAGTAAACAGAGCATACAATCGGGTTTTACACCGAGATGTTCCATTGCCCAGGGACGGGCAGGAGACAGATGCTTTTCTCTATCTCAATTGCCAACAACCACCAAGAGGCCTTCTTTCCTCTTGTACTAGTCCTCCTCAGCACAGACCCTTCACAGGTGTCAGGCTGGGGGACAATCAGGTCTCTCCCATCCCACGAGGCCATATTTCCGACTATCACATGGGGAGAAACCATGGACAATACCTAGCTTTCCTAGGCAGAGGTCCCTGCGACCTTTGGCAGTGTGTGTGTCCCTGGGTACTTGAGATTAAGAGAATGGTGATGACTTTTAACCAGCAAGCTGCCTTCAGGCACTTGTTTAACAAAGCACACCCTGCACAGCCCAAAATCCTCTAAACCTTGAGTCACCATAGCACACGTCTCTTGCAAGGACAAGGTTGGGGGTAGGGTCACAGATTAACAGCATCTCAAATACAGAACAAAATGGAGTCTCTTATGTCTACTTCTTTCTATATAGACACAGTAACAGTCTGATCTTTCTTTTCCCCACAGCTGCTTAGTTAAAAAAATCGCATTTCAACTTCAAAATATCCAAACTAATAACAGTTTTAAAATAACAAATTATTACAAATACTACAAAATAATAAAAATACAAGTAGTGCAGAGTGGAAATGCAAAGCTATGTGTGCTAGAAGGCTAACATTCAATTAGTCATAACAAACAACAACGGAATTAAAGAACAAGATAGTTGTGACTTACCTTGGTCAATCACTTTCCATAGTAATTCAAGCCATTCAATCCAGGACCTCATCTCGGAAAATGAAGGAAAAAAGCAACAGAAAATAGTGCAGAGGTCTCTGGTGCTCAAAGAATAGGCGCTGGAGGGAGATGTGGGTGCCTGAGCTGTGCCCAGTTACTCAAAGGGCACACCTGACGCTACCTGTTCACTTGGGGCTTCAGAGGAGAGGGGAAAGACAAGTTCCTCCGGGCCACTTTCTGTCTCCTGACTTCACTTCTTGCCTACCTTCGACTGCACTTCCTGGATTGACATCACTTCCTGTCTTCTGACTTTGCCTCCTGTATGACCTTACTTCCTGTCTTCTACCTTCACTTCCTGTCTTCTGACTTTACTTCCTGCATGACCTCATTTCCAGTCTTCTACCGCCACTTGGTGTCTTCCGACTTTACTTCCTATCTTGACTTCACCGCTTGTTTTTTTTTTGTTTTGTTTTGTTTTGTTTTTCTTGACAGGGTCTCACTGTGTCGCCCAGGGTGGAGTGCAGTTGTGTCAGCTTGAAACCACCTTTGCAAAATTATGACTGAGATAGTGAAAGAGATTTAACTTAACTGACTCCATTTTGCTTGTAACCTCCAAGCTGTCCTTTTTCACTCCTGGGTGTAGGCTGAACTTTGGGAGAAACTTAGTTTATGGTTTAAACAAAGACGATAGCCCTTTCCCAAAGCAGACCTGTTTGTTGCCTGGGGACTAGATTGGCTCTGTAGGACTAACATTAGCCACGAGATTAGAAATTATGATTTAGGACATGCAGCTGGAGGCTACAAGATTGTGACCCTCCCTAAACTGCTTCTAAGGTAAGTGCTTGAGATAATTTGCAGAACCTGCACTGGATGGATCAGCTGGCACCACCCATCTCAATAAACTGGCCCATCTTATCTTTTGGCCTCCACTCAGGAACTGCCTGAGTTCGAGAGGATAGCTTTGACTCCCATTATTTCATCCCTGACCAATCAGCACTCCTAGCCCACGGGCTTCCCACCCACCAAGTTATCCCTAAAAAAAAACTCTTCTCCCTGAATGCTGGGAGACACTGATTTGAGTAACTCTGGTCTCTCGTAGAGCCAGCTCTGCATGATTTTCTAATGCAACTCCC